GATCGAATCTTCAAATAAGCTAAAATCTTTTTATTGTTCTATCATCATAACTATAAAAAAAATTGTGTATTTGTGAGAATTTTTTTTTTCTTTCCACTTTTATTTGCTATTCATTCTTTTCTTCTCATTTTTTTTTCGTCACTGTCATTGTCTCGTTTTTTTTCTTTCTTTGTTTCTTTTGCATTTGCTTTCTGCGCTCATTACTGCTGGAGTACTGTTCAGTTTTCGAAGACAAAGACAGACGGAGAAATAATTATAATAATAATAATTATAATAACATTAAATTAAAATTATTTTTAATTATCAAAACAAATTTTGGAATAGGTATTGAAAAAAACAGCAATTTGACTAATTTCTTTACTAATAATGAATTATCATTAATTTAAAATAACTTTTTTCTCTTTGACATGCAATAGAATTATTAATTGAGTAAATCTTCTAGAATATTTTTATTTGTTTGATCGGTCTTTTTTTTCTTTAAATACATTATTTGATTTATGTCAATCAGTTTTTCTCTTTCTAGAAGGAGAGAAAAAAGAAAAGAATTGTTAAAATTTGTTAGGAAATTTAATTAGACTATAGAAACTTTCAAAAATTTAAACATTTGTTTTTCAAAAGGATAATATGACAAGTAATCAAAAAAAGGGCTAATTTTCACTTCTATTTTATGAACAAAATTAAAATCATCTTCACAAGGTCGTTTTCTTTTTGTTAATATCTAGTTGAAAAGTAGATATTATTATGCTTAATTTTACTTTCCGGGAATCTTAATATAATCAAAAAACCTTCAGATTATATTATTTTGACTAAATATTCTTGTTGAAAACATTTAAATAGTAAAGATTTAAAAAATATCATTATTAGTAAATACAAGAGAACGATAGGAGAATTTCAATAAAGAAAATATCTACTTGTTATTAACAAAAGCAGAAAAAAATAGAATGAATTAATGTCAAGTATTACTTCTTTTTCTTATTTAAATAAATAACGTAATTAAAATTCAACATGAAATCAGAAATAATGGATGGCGTAGAATGGATTGCACTTTTACTATTTCCTAAATTTCTTTTTATGGAAATGTAGTGCTAAAAATACTGCAAAAGTTTACTTATAATGGAATCTGAATAATATTTTACGCATATTTACAAAAGGTGAAATATAGACATAAAAACATAATAGATTTAATCAAACTATTTAACCCTATGATGAAATATATAATTTTGAAAGATCTTTCACACACGTTGTGATATATTGTACGTATAAGATAATTGGCAATAAAAAATTAATAACATGAAAATCTATGGAGACAGATAAAATCAAAATAAATGAATTATTTTGCATGCTTTCCATCAAAAATGGGTTTTGTTACTGTAATAAATTGCTCATTTATGAGAAGTTGTTGGTTTCATTGTTCAGTTAAATGATATAATTAAGTGACAATACTTTCTTTATCTATCTATCTATGAAGAAGAGGAATATATTTAATTCGTGATGAATATAAGAAGCATTCGCTATAAGAAATCTATTCTTCAGTTAATTCTTTCTCCACTATCTTAAATCTCTATATTTATGTTTATGTATACGTTTTCAATGGATTTTGTTGCAACCAGTCATTCAAGAAAATAAATCGATATTTATGCACCAAACAAGTATGTAGTTAAGTACTCGACTGACTATCATTTTTTAAGATTATGATTTGCAGCAATGTGATAGCACCAATTTTTGTCGTTATATATCGATAATTATTTTCTCAAGTGAGTGATTATAATAATAGAATGAAGGTATGCAAGATATTATCTAACACAATATACGTATGAGTAATAATTATACTTTCCAATTAATAAATTTCTTTTTCTAACGGAACATACATAAATAACCAATCTATTAGTATTTTGAGCATATCACACTTTCTCTTCGAAATTTATCATCTGATTAGCATGGCAGAACACGCGTTGTAAAATCTCTACATAATCCTAATCGTAATTCGTTAGTCAAAAAAAAAAAGTTAAGTAAAGAATATATAACACGTAAAAAGTGTCTAGTTTTCAAATCTATTTTAATTGACAAAGTTTCGATTATTTGACATAACTGTAAAATCAACAAAATAATAATGAATATGTTTTTAAACAATTCGAAATGCCCCTTTTTCTAATGATACAGATAACGCATTCGAGGTGACCAACCCTCTCGATATTTCTCTCTTTTTCTTAAGCAGGAAATGATAACAATATGTCATTTGCTATGTCATGATTATAACTTTCTAAATCCTTTATTATATAGTATGATCTATCTTCGTTAAAACAATCAACACAAGAGAAAATCGTGATAATTTAAACCGAAAACATCTAATTGCTTTACTATTACTAGGCTTGTTTCTCTTGAATTAACTAGTCCGAAGTCTTTATATACAGTGTGTCATTATTCGTTTTAGTCAAGGTTTCAATCAGCTAGTTTACGCTTCAAATAGCTTGTTAATTATTGTCTTAGACTAAATATTTGCTTCCTGAATGACATATCAAAAGAGTGGAAATAGCATAGTATTCTTCCAAAGTAAATAGCTATCAATTATTGTTGTTGTTCTATATATTAATTAGAAACTTGTGTTTTGATACTATTTTACAGATCGCTCGGTATAGGAACTAAATCTATATTTTATTTTCCTTTACAATAATTGAGTACAACTTGTCGTTTTATAATACACTCTTTTAATTCATAGTCAATCACTCAAAATTCTAAATGCATTTGAAGAGGTTCACCTATACTGTAAGATGTCAATTTATATGTATATTTTAACAATTAATTACTCGAACATTTGCTAACATGAATACTTATATTGCTGGTCAATAACAGCAAATTTTTCATCCATGATTTAAGAATATAAATGTGTATTCATTAAATAACTGTTCTATTCTACTTGTGGTATCGATGAGTTGTTCTTTTGCCTTTTTAATTCACATAAATGTTCTCATCTTCTTTTTGTTTTGACGGAACGATTTGCTTGACAACGGCTTTTGTCGATTATATGTCCTATGTTATTCCTAACGGAAATAGGACTATAGCTCATTTAACTATTAAAACCTGGATTCAAGATTTAATGAATACTATATTTCAGTTTAATATATTTTCATGATAGTAAAATTTCTGTGTTAGTTAAACAACAGCAGATATCTATTCAAATATTTCATATTTCGTAAGATATCAAACTGTTTCAACTAGTATATTTTAAAAGAATCTAACAAAATATTTTATGCCATTGTTTAATATTCTCAATATATGAACAACTCTAATTATAGTATAGAATCTATAATATAGACTGTCTGGCGTATAAGATTTATCTGAGTGTATTATATAGAAATGTTTATGAAAAGGAAAATTCAATGAAGAACTAATCTTGCTGAAAGTATTATACATTTGTTCAAAAGACTATAGTCATTAGAAATACATCATCAAACACACATCATATAATCAGAATTAAAAATAGTGATCACGAAATAGTTATTTGAATGAATAAAATTTATTTTATGCATGACATATCTTCTTTTTTTTCAAAAACATTGAAAACTATTTCTAAACAACACCATTAGTTCACATTTTCAATTTACATCAAAGAAATCTTATTAGTAACTAATTTTTGTACTTGAAGCATGACTTACAATTCAAAGGAAACTCCATAAATATCATTCGTTAGTAACGTAAAATGACGTTTGTTTAATTTATTAATATGAAACATGATAAATCAAAGATTCCGATAAATAAAAAGATTCTGATAATTATTAAAAAAAAATAAAACACACATATGTATTATACTATATAAAATAATTATTTTCTTATTAAAAAATTTCGAATAGGAATAAAATATGATTAGTTAAATTTCCGTTAGAATCTTTCTTTTCTTTAGATTATTCATCGATGCATGTTAGATTAATATTCATATTGAGTTATAATTATATCGATATTGAGCTAATAAAATCTTCTCCAAGTTTATTCTAAATATAAATTGGAAAAGTATGTGTAGGTAACACTCTTACTATACTTGTGAACATCTATTTGTTTACCTGTAAAACAAATATGAAAATAGACTAATCCCATTTTTAAAAAATAGATGTTTCAACTAAAAATAACTATTGTCAATTTATGTACTTAGATATGTGAAGAATAGTTGTATATTTTGCTATTTATATAGAAAGAATTGTTGAGATAATATTTTCATGAGTTATTTCTTTTGTGTTTCTTTCAATCGAAAAAGACCGGAAAAATATGATCTTAAAAAGAAATATGTCCGATTTTTATGTCGTTTGATGTAAAATAATTAATGCTCTTCAGTTTCCGTTTTGGACTCGCAACCTTTGCGTTTTTCTCTCTCACTCTCTTGTTGGCATCATTTCAATAACAACCATTAACCAATACATAGAGATCGTGCGTGGGACATACATGTTATGCATACCGATGTTTATAAGCTCGTTCTCTCTTTCGCACAATCGACATATAAATATTATTATTCATCCGGAAATTGATTAAATCGAAAAAAAACGAGAACACTACGAATAAATACTGAGTATTGTTGTTTTTTTACGGATTAAAAATCAGTATTCATGTTTAAAAAGAGAAAAATGATTGTATCGATTAGAGATAAAATAAACAAATTATGAATAGATGTGTACATCATTATATTATACTTGACATTCGATACATAGAAAAACTAGAGAGCTCTTTTTCAACATACGTGATTGGAGAGAGACAAAAAAAGCAACGAAAAAAAAAGAAGAAGAGAGAAAAAGAAAATCCGCCATCAATTAGTCACAGAAAGAAAAAAGTTGAGAGATATTCATATCGAAGTCTTTTCCTTTCTCTTTCCATTATCATCATCGTCATCATTCGACGCATTTTTCAGCAATCGACTCTCAATCTTTTCATTTATCTTTCTTCAAATACTCAAGTAAGAATTGTTCTTTCTTTTTTGAATACTATATTAAAGATCTTATTTAACTTTTATAGTCATCATGCGTATGACATTGATTAATACTATTTTATGTTTATTTATTGCTTTAATTGGCATTACACTTTCATCAAGTTCTTCATTAGATAACGATGATTATGCAACTGCTAATAGTGATTGGAATCAATTTGATTCTTATTATCCAACTCATTTTCTAAATGTACGTGCAGCTAAATCACGATTTTGGAAACGTGCACCACCTCGTAAATTCTGGAAACGATCTTTAGATGAATCAACAATGAACAACAATGATATGGATAATTTTCAACAACAAGAAAAACATTAGATTATCCAACAACAATACCATCAAAGAAAAGACCACTTTTCTTAAAAAAAAAATATTTCTTCTATTTATATTGTATTCAATGAATTCACTAGTGCGATACTCCGTCAAGTAACAAGACGAAGACATTACCCTGTGCATCATTGAGAATATTAAATCTTAAATAATAATAAAAAAAAGGAGAAAATATAATTAAATAAAAAACAAAAGTAAGAAACTAATTTCATATTTTGCCATTAGCTATTCAATATGTAATACAATCAATACAAACCTAATCTACATTTATTTGCACAGATCATTATCTTTCAATTGTATTCGAAGACAATGATATGATAAATATATTATCGAATCTAGATAATAATTCATTTTCTTTTTTCATTCATGCATATAATGCAATAAGAAAAAGAAATCTTAATTGAGTGCTGGAATAAAAGATAGGAATAGTTTATTTTACAGTATGAATACGAGTACATGAAGAAATATGATTAGAAGCAAACACTCGACATATAGAGTTATTTATTTGTTTTTCATTTATCTGTTTGTAATATGAAGATTGATGTGATACCTGACAAGTTGGTTTAACACATTGAAATTTTGGAAGACATGAATATTGAAAACATTTACAGTCTGATAGTTTTTGATACGATGAATAATTTTCGGGATACCGAGGAGATTTTTTACATTGTATTTTTGAATCAATAGTTCGGTATTTTTTACGTACTTGTAAAAAAAATTGTATTACTAATACAAATAAAACTATACATACTGTAATTAAACCAATAATAACAAGTATATCATGTGTATTAGTATTAGAAAATGGTGATCCAATTGATGGATATAAATTATCAAATGTTGCCTTCGAATTGGCCAATGTTAAGTCCATATTCTATAATATAATGAGAGAGAAAAAAAAGGTATTAATTCAATTTGCTATTCAATTGTCAAGTGACTTCTATTTCATGTCTTTTTACTTCACTGACAAAAAAAATCAATATTTCGTTATATTTTATTTTGCACGTTAAAAGAAAAAAAATTTGTAGGAATTTTTATTTTTTTCACTCTGTTCTTTTGTACGAATGTGTTAAAGATTATTTTTCTTTCATAAAAATGATCGACAACTTAATAATCGTTAGTAAATATATTTATTGATTATATAGAAATGTCAACTATTATATATATATGCAAAGAAAAATGAAGTCAAATATCGTTATTTATTTTAATTGGTATAAAATTTTTATTTCAATAGATTTTTCCTATGACACATAGGTGAGATTTTGTATAAAAGCCAAACATACAATAACAATATTATTACTCATTATGATGTATGTGGGGTGTATTATATGGGAATATTTTGCTGCTATACATCGTAGTCAAGTTTGTTTTTGGAAATAACCTTCAATAAAAAAAAGTCAATACGTAATCAATTTCGATTTTATTATTTTTAATCATTGATATGTTGATTTTAGCATAAGTCAAATCATATGCAAATAGGTTTTTTCTTTCTTTATAATTTGCACTGAAAAAATTTCGAAGAAAAAAAATAATGGATAGATAATTAAAAGAAATTTGATAATCATTAATATTTATAGCCACTAATAATGAATAGAGTGATAAAAATAACTTTTATGAAAATTTATTCTTAGGATTAGAGTGATATTTAAATATCAGTTTCATTTTATGCTCTACATTAGTATTTCATTGAAAGTACTTATTAACTTGACTTTCGATAAAATTTCTTGTACGACTTTACAAAATATGAAACAAATCAGACAGAAATAAATGAGAAAATATTATAAATATAGTTGTCAGTGGCGAATTTAGAGGGGGAGGGGGGCGACCGCCCCTATCGCTCCCCCCCCCCTTTCAGAAATTTGTTTTGATTTTTTACAGCAAAAATAGGTTCACAGTACTTCGATTGGATTCAAGGATAGTTTTTAGCCGAAATTGCCCACTTCCCTGCTCAGGAATCGCCTCTCCTATCCAAAATCCTAGATCCGCCACTGATAGTTGTTTATATTATTTCTGAATGTTTAATAAATAACAATACTTCCGTTGAAACTATAGAATTACTACTTGATATTGAAATTTGAATATTAATACAAGTATTATTTTCGGAAACCTTTGACCTTTTATTTTTATTTTATTGCATCTTAATATGAAACTCTATTGTAAATTTTGTCGCAAAATATATCAAATTTATTAGATAATATGAGAATTTTAAAGTAAGCATATGCCATAATCCTCAATATCGAAATAGCAATTTTTAATAGATTTTCTTGAAAGTAGAATGTCTGGCCACGTAATATTGATTGTGAGTACATGTCAATGTCATTCATGAATGTGATGGAAAAAAATAGATTATTATTATTATTATTATTATTATTATCGAAAAGATAATTAAACTGTTATAAGTTAATTCATATAGAAGAATCTAATAACATCAACTGAAATCTACAATTAAAATTTAGTTGTATGAAGAACATCAAGGCAATGAATAAAAGCTATTCTAACAATTCATACTCGAAAATACTCTTATATCTAACTAATTTTCTTGAGTTAACAGTAGTTGTATCTAATGAGATTATTTTTGATAAAGTCATGTCTCTCATATAAACTATGCTACAAAGACCTTGATTGAGTGTAAGATAGATTCCATAGATTTGAATTTAACTCTACATTTTGTCAGTTATTTAATGTAACATGAAAATAAAAATAAGAACAAAATTGATGATGATAATAATAATGAATATGAAATAGAAAAATTCTATCTACCGTATAATTTTCCCCTTCCGTAAACAATATTCATGCTAAATAATATAATTTTACTAATTATTTTCTGTAATATCATTTTGTACAATTGAATGAAAATATTCTAATAAACAAAAAAAAATCAATTCAACAAGTATTGATTCTATTTAAAAATCTAATGAAATATTTATATCGAATTGAAGTATCATGATTCATAAAGAAAGATCATGAACGAAAAAATAACAGAAGAATATAATTGTTTTCTTTAATTTCCTTTTTTGTTGCAACTATCTACATGATCAATATTTTATGAAATAGATCAGGCGAGCAAAGCCAGAGGAGTAGTTCTTTGACATGTGCATTGCATATTCTAATTATTGATAGAATAGTAACAAGAAATAATAGTAGAGTTTTACATTTATTCTTCTATCTAATGAACAATGAATGTTTCTCTATATAATCATTCAAATTTGTGCTGTTATATAAATAGATTCAAATCAAAACTGCAGTATAGAAAAAGGAAAAGATCACAATATGTTTTTTTTTCTTGCTTTGCTGTCTGTCTCATTTGAAGAAAATACATGTAAACAGTTATATTTGATTTCTTCCGATAGTCTTAATCCGAAAGGAAGTGCATTTTTGACATGTTTTGACAGTAAAGGTAAGTTATGCACTCCTCCTACGAATAGTGACGTAATCATATGAAAACAAATTCGAAGAAAATATGAAATTTTCTCATATAGTCGATATATTTATTGTAATTCATCAAATAATAATAATAATATAATACGAACAAATAATAACAAGTTTCGAACTCTTTCATATGTAGTTCAATTCAATGTATTGTATAGATTCCAGTATTTTGATTAAGAGATCCTTCGACATTTTCTATATTATTCTTTTGTATGAAAAATCAATCTTTTGCTTTGTTAACTATTTTTAGTCATTCATTACTAAAAAATTTGTAGCTTTATTTATATGTATAAATCATTGATTGAATCAGTTCGGATATTTATGTAAGGTATCATCTGTCCTTGAACACAATTTCTTTTTTCTTGATGTTTGCACTTGTCTGAACATGTCTTATAATGATTCTAATGAACATGAAAAGCTTGAAGGAGATGAACGGACGAGGGCAAATAAAACAGAACTAGTGTCGATTGTTGAGACGTTCATATTCAATTCATATGGTACCCTTTAGCTGTTATTGTTGTTGTTGCTTTTCATTATAACAAGAATAAAAAAAAAAGAATAAGATAGAGAGAGAGAAGAGGAGAAGAGAGAAGAAGAGAAAGTGTAGAGCTGTTTATCTTTGCGGAAACCGACATATAGAAGTTCTATGCAAAAAAAAAAATTGGTGTCGAACACGCTTTATTCATATATCGTTATTGCTGACACATACACATTCCAAAATCTATAGAGTGAGTGTGTCTTATTGTGCCACTTCTATGTTATCCCTTCAGGCAGAGAGTGTTTTGAGCATTTCTTTTTTGTGACTATATTAATATCTCGTTGTTTCTTATGACGTTGATTGTAGATAATAAATTTTAGAATTAAATTTTCATTTATTTTTCTTTCAGTTTCTATTAAGCAATTAATATTAACATCTATATTCCATCAATATTATTCTATTATTTATTATTACGAACAAATTATGCAGACAAAATTCGTTTTTATTGCTGGTCTTCTCACCGTTCTATTTCTTTTCTATTTCAATACTATCGTTGAATCAACATTAATCGTACATAGTGATGAACAAGGAGATGATGGAAGTTCAGAAGATTTTGATGTTGACAAACGTCTTGCTGCAGCCAAATTCGCTAGTGGACTTGGAAAACGATTAGTATCAGCTAAATTTGCTAGTGGTCTTGGCAAACGTTTAGCAGCGGCAAAATTCGCTTCAGGCTTGGGCAAACGACTAGCATCAGTTAAATTTGCATCCGGTCTCGGTAAACGAAGTGTGGAATAGAATAAAGCAAAAAAAAAATATTTATATAAAATATTATCATAAACACACACATTTTATTTTTCATTTTTGAATTCTCTACTACATCAATGTATATGTGTGTGTATAGAATTTCTATTCTACGTGTGTATTGGATAATATGAATAAGGACAATAGAACCATGAGATGGGATTTTATCTCCAAATTTTTCTTCTCTACAAATAAAAAAACTTACAAAAAAACAAATCTATTAATTTAAATGCTTATAGAAAGAAATATATTTTTATAGTTATGAAAAATAGCATTTCTATTAATAGAATGATACAATGCTTATTATATGTATTTAATAATCAATCATAAAACCAACAAAAAAGCAATGATTGAGTATATGCCATTATCTTCTACATATGATATTTTATTATTATTATCATTATTAACCGTGACCTCTTTGGTATCTTATATAATATCAAAATTAAATTGAGTTTTGACATAGATTGTGAAAAATATTGATATTAGAATGAAGAAGAGAAAGAAAGAAAGGAATGTATCGAATAGTTCAATATTTTTCTTTTTGATTTATCTATGAATAAAAACATTCATATGTTCACCTTGTGTCGTGTTGATATATATAAAACGAATAATAGAAAGATACGAGGAGGTCATCGTCTCGTCTTCTTGATATTTTCTTTTGGTATGAGCATATTTCTCTTCATATAAATGATCATTATCTCTAGGTGTATACGGTGAATTGAAGCGTAACGGAGACGGTCAACAAGTGAAAGTACTGATCTGTTCAATAACATTCTCTTCGCATTAATACAAACACATCACTTTGTTCGAGTGTGTATATCAAAAAAGAAATGTCCTATCGTTATGTTTATCCAAATGGAACATCAACTGTAGGTGCAACACCTGGCGTTAACGGTTATGGTGTTGATCCATCAATGTTATCTGCTGGATATCCTACCAGTCTCTCAACAAATGGATATGATCATCGTCGACGACGGTAATTAATTGTCTATTTTTTTTTCATATAAAATTTATTCTTGAATATTTTTAATAGTCGATCATATTCACCAGGATCATTTTCATCAGATAGTTGTAGTGATGATGACTATGAATATCGTGGTCGAATGATTACACGTGAAAAACGATGTCCGCGTGATGTTGTTCGAGCACCAACACCACCACCAATTATTAAACGAGTCGTTGAACGAGCCCCAACACCTGAAGCACCTGTTATGGAACGGGTATGCATTCAATATTATAAAATAGATTAGAATAGAATAGTTTTATATTTTTAATTGATTAGGTTATTATTCGACCACAAGCTCAGGAAATTGTTGAACGTGTTATTGAACAACCACGTACACCACCACCACGTATAATTCAAAAAGAAATGCAAGAAGAAGCACCACCACCAATTGTTCGAACAAGGTAAATTTTTCTTCTTATTCTTTTATTTTAATCAAACAAATATTAACTATCATTAGAGTTATCAAAGTCGACCGTCCACTTCGTAGTGGTTATAGTCAACCAGGTTCACCATATGGCAATCCATGTAATGGATTACCTTCAATATCAAATGGTCTTATGACAAGTGGTCATACCTATCGAACCCATTCAATTGCAGGTTCGACTGGACGACCAAGAGTATATCGTACAAATGATAATGATCCGAGTTTTTCTTCAGGATCAAGTTTTGAATATACTCCATCGGCACAAATGTCATCCAATGTTCCGCAAACAACAATGATGATGATGCCAGCATCACAACAAGTACAACCTATGAGTATGATGCAACAACAGCAAATGCAACAACAACAACAACAACAACAACAACAACAACAGCAACAAATGCAACAACAACAAATGCAACAGCAACAAATGCAACCTATGGGCGTCATGCAACAACAACCAGTACAATCGATGGGTGTCATGCAGCAGCAACCAGTACAATCTATGGGTGTCATGCAACAACAACCAATGCAACAAATGGGTGTCATGCAACAGCAGCCAATGCAACAAATGGGTATGATGCAACAACAACCAGTACAGCAGCAAATAATGTATCGACCTGTTCAAATGCAATCATCTATGCCTCAAATGGCCGCTCAATCAGTTCCACCATTACCATCAAGTTATATTCCTCAACAATATATGTATCCAGCACATCAAGGAATGTCTTATGGTTATCGTCCAATGATGCAACAAGGTAGAATGATTCCAAGTGGTATGCCAATGATGGCTGCTGGTAATGCAGTTGGTACACCAACAAATAGTTTTCAAAGTCAACCCCAAATGTATCATCCAATGGCTCAACAACTCGTCTATTAATAATAATATCATTTTAAACAAACTTTAAAAACAACAAAACATTCTCCTTTAAACTATTCAGTCAGATTAATAATTTGATTTTTTCTTTTGTGTTTCATTATTATTCGTTCATTTTGTAGAAGAAAAAAAAATTTCATCTTTTATTTATCAAGAATAAATTCAGATAGAAAAAAAAATAATAATAAACTTTTCTTTTTATCTTGCTAGAGAAATTCATTTCAAATAATAATACAATATACTCATACAAGTGTATCAAATTTCTTTTTATAATTTCATTGTCAGCTCATTTATCATTGCTTTGTGTATTATAATTCTTTTGTTTTTGTTGTTGTATTATTATGATTGATCATTGATAATAGGCCAAACAATTTTTATTCACAAATGAAAAGAGAGACAATAATAATGATTAAAGATATAATATTAATAGCTTATATCATATATTATTTAAAGACAAATAATTAAAATCTTTCTCTCTCGCTTTACTTTTAGTTTTTGTATATGATTTTTTTTGTAGTAGAAAAATTATTGCGCGTGAATATTTAACCATAAAGCTACATTCTGTTTCAATTATAATCTATAAGTTTGTATGAAATCTACATTAGAATTAGTAGAGAATGTTGAAAGAAGAAAATGGTATAAAAATCAATATATTTGGATCATTATTGCTATCACATTATTAGTTTTGACTATTATTATTATTACAACAATATTTTTACTTAAAAATAAATTAGAGAAAAGTATAAGTTTACTAATAATAATATCATAGAATGAAAAAATAACATTATCTTATAGATAACCCAATACATATTCATTATACACGTGTAAATACAAAAGTTTATCCAGGTGGATACGAACTATATCAATTAAATGTTCTTCCTCAAAGAAATCCAGCACAACAGTATAAACTTTTCGGTGATTTTCTTCGTGTATCACTTGTTAATAAATCAAATTATGAACAATTTCTTCCATCATGTCCAATTATATTTGCTTTATCATCTGTTGATCATCCAGAAGAATGGCGTGCTATGTTATTTGGAACAATGAAATATCCAAGTCCAAATATGCCATATCCATATATATGTTTTCTAAGTGTTTTACGTGACCATCGACAGTATAGATTAGGTTCAATTCTTCTCAATCGATTTATAAACGAAATGGTAAAATATATTTTAAGATAAAAAATTCTATACTGTTTCATTTATTTAGTTTAAAGATACTAAACCTCCTATTACGCATATACAATTACATACAAATTGGGAAAATTGTCGAGCACAAAAATTATACAATCGTTGTGGTTTTCAATGTAATCAATTTACAGCAAATGGTTATTCAAAACCATACGAACCACAATATAAATTTGGTCATATGATTCGAATGGAATTAGATATGCATAATATTCGAAATAGATCAGAAGTATGTCTTAGTTCAGATGCTGTACAAATATCTCCGCAAGATATGACAAATTATGAGACATTATGTCAACAAAATATACCAAATGGAACTAATCGAACATGTTGAAAGTTTTAAAATTCAACCGTTTTCTTTTTCAATAAATTGTTTTAAGCTTGAAACATCAAAGAGAAATATTTTACCTGACTCATCTTCGTCTGACATCTAGAGATGTCAATGTCAAAAAAACATCATTTACAAAAATTAAGTGAATATTTCGGAATAATCTTTCATGTTTGTTTACTTTTTGATGAAATTTCAATTATTTTTTCACTTTAAATTTTCTTACGCATTATTCAAATCATTAAGAGTGAATTGTTCAACGAAACAATATGGTTCCTAGTCAACAAGCACTGTTCTTTGTTTAACATTTCTCCTGCCTATTTAACACTTGTCTGATCAGTTTTCTTCATATTCTCACTTAGTTAATCGTTATATATATTATTAATCATGCCTGCTTCACGTGATGATGATGTTTATCAAGCTAAATTGGCTGAACAAGCTGAACGTTATGAAGGTAAATAAATCAATGTTTGTTTATTTATAAAATTTTATAAAACAAATATTTATTAATCAAATAGAAATGGTCGATTCTATGAAAAAAGTTGCCAAAATGGATCAAGAATTAACAGTTGAAGAGCGTAATTTACTTTCAGTTGCATATAAAAATTTAATTGGTGCACGACGAGCATCATGGCGTATTGTTACCAATATTGAAAGTAAAGAAGAAAGTAAATCAGAGAGTAGTAAAATAGCATTTACTAAAAAATATCGTTCTCAGGTTTGTTTGAATTAATTTCTTTCCTTGAGTCAATAAAAACCGATCAGTCTGTTTTTAGATTGAAAAAGAATTACGTGATATTTGTCAAGATATTCTTGATTTACTTGATAAAAATCTTTTACCAAATGCAGCATCAGGTGAAAGTAAAGTTTTTTATTTAAAAATGAAAGGTGATTATCATCGTTACAAAGCTGAATTTGCTACACAAGAAGATCGTAAAGAAGCAGCTGAAAATTCACTTGTTGCATATACAAAAGCAAATGATATTGCACAAAATGAATTACCACCAACACATCCAATAAGACTTGGTTTAGCATTAAACTTTTCGGTATTTTATTATGAAATTCTCAATACACCAGAACGAGCTTGTCGATTAGCTAAACAAGTAATTTTTCTATTAACTAAAGATAAATGTTTTTCAATCTATTTTTTTTTAGGCATTTGATGATGCAATTGCTGAGTTAGAAACTCTTAATGAGGATACATATAAAGGTTTGAATTAATTTTATTGAAAAATTTATCAAACTATTGATATTTAGATTCAACATTAATTATGCAACTCTTAAGAGATAACCTCACATTGTGGACAACTGACATGCCTGGTGATAATGAGAACGCTAACAATGACGTTCAAGATGTTGATGATGAGCAAAAGTGATTTATTCTGTCCAATATCTTTAATGTTCAAGCAAAAAATTAAAAAACAACCTTTCTTCTTTTCTTTTCTTTGGTTTCAAAAACAAAATCCCTTTCGTCTTTTCATTGAATATAATGCAAGCAAAACAAATCTCTCTCTCTCTCTCAATATACATATATATACGTGTGTGTGAGTGTATTTGGATGAGAATCTCTTAATCTGTGAGAATCGAACTTTCGTCCTTCTCTTTTTCAATGAAAGATAATTAACGAGTAGATGTAATCAGTCAGAAAAAAAAATCTTTTCTTTCTTACATATGTCCTTATTCAATCTTTTTTCTTTCGTTGTATTTCAAATGACACGTACACATTCCTAATTTCTTTTAATTGACTCGTCTTATATATGAACATGTGTGTATTCTTAGATGTTACAAAAAATCATTATCATCCGTCGTATTAAAGTGTATTGATGTTCTCACCTATCACTTTAGTTCTTTTTTTTTCCTTTTTTACTTCAATAAAACACATTCGCAAGCATTTAAATAAACAATTTGAATTTACTATATACATTTCATATGCACTATTCTTAGATATGTATATCCGACAATCACAGTTCGAGTAGCATTTTAATGAGTATCAGATAGCATGACAATTAAGTATAATTTTATTATGATTATTCATAATAAGGATTAATAATAAACCATGAATTATAAAAGTGAAGATAATTTCATTGATGATATGAGCAAAAAATAATTTTTCTAAATAAATGACCTCGATATTATCATTAATTTTGATGTTGATTTCACTAAATAAAGATTCTGCTAAAAATAAATCGGGTAATTTTATCTATATGATAGATTTATCATTTCGATGTACAAGTTAAGTAATATATCTGATGGAATTTGAAACATGTAGAACCATCGAAAAAAGAATCTATTATTAGTAATTGACTCATGAATTTATTTAGACTTTAATTTAATAGTATACATATCTGCTTTAGAGAAAAAAACAAAATATTCCATCATACATTCAAGAATATCATCTTATTATTTTTGATAAAAATACCTCGAATATTTGAAATAAAAGATTTTTCAGCTCATATTGTTTGTTATCTATATCTAGAGAGAGGGCAGCAATAGCGGCGTCCTCTCGGAGAACGATTTTCCCCCCCCCCCCCCCCGAAAATTGCAGTTTTTGTGCTTATACTATGTATTTTCGCCTCAGAAATTAGGTTTTAGCCCTCCCGAAAATCGCTATCGCACTCTCCAAAGGAAAACCTAGATAAAACACTGTATCTACAGGAAACAATATCATATTCCATTGAATGTTTACCTTATGAAAATTTAATTTTTTAATCATAAAACTCCCGAGTCAAAACTTATTATAGATCATCCATTATTATGACATATTCTCAATCAATGTTATAGTAAAGACGTATTACACATCAAATTATATAATCATATTTGTTGTCTAATCATGATCGTACTTTTTCATCTCATTCAGTCAACCATCATTTTTTATCCAAATATCATTTATCCATTATACAGTTTATTTTGACATGCAACCGAATAGCATGTCAATATTTGATTCATTGTTGAAAGTTGGATGTCAAATATATTCTTGAATTTTTTTTATTTCATTATAAATATCGAAATAATAAAGTTACAAATTTTTAGAGAGAACGAAAAAAATCAATAGAATTAATTATAATTTAATTGCATATCAATGAAAAGATATTTAGTAAATTCATATCGTCAAAGGACAGATCTTATTAATTTTAGTGTCGATTATATTATATTGATACGATTTATGTTTATATTGCGAAAGTTCTAAATGATGATTTTCAAGTACATAAATAAAATTTGAACTTTTCTTTTTTTTAACTATAAAAAATCTTAAAGTTAATATTGTCAATGATTTATATAAAATACAACTTACTAATCGTTCAATATCACTCAAATAAATCTATTGTTATCTTTGAGAATTCAAATCATTTCTCATTAGTTTTTTATACCAAACATCTGATTTAATCTTTTCACTCATCGAAGTCAAACAAGCATATACAATTCAGATCGACATAGCGGCTGTTCAACTCTTATCCTCTACGTTTTATCCATCATTCATCTTTGCTATATAGCATCATTTTTTTTGCTATCACTTCGTTAATGATATATCCTTGAACGGTGATTGTTCTCTACTACGCTGGCTGACAGCATCTATTGTTCATCATCTATGTCATCATCATCATCATCATCATCATTATCAATGCAACACTAACGTATATCCATATATGATCTGTATTTATAAGCATCATACATTATATAAATGTGTATATATATATTGAATAGTGATGTGTACACACCTATATACATCGAAAGAACCATAACTCATTTATCTTTTTCTCTCTCCCTCTCTCTTCTCTTTTCATTTTCTATATTTGCAATGTTAAAATTGAATATTGAAATTGTATGGCCATCACGGTAATCGAAAAAAAACTATATGCATTTAGATTGAAAAGGTAGGAAGTTAAAATGTAATTTATTTTATTAATATTTATATTTATAAAAGTGTGTCTGTAAAGAAAAATATCATTGTACAAATTAGTTGAGTAAATATATAACAGACTATACGCACATGTGCTGTATATGTATATGTATACGTATAAATACACATCTGTTTGTTCATTCATATTGTCTAATGTAAAGACAACTCAAAGTCAAAGACGTGAAATTGTTCATGAGACAAGCAATAGTCGGCATTCATAAGAGAAAGTCTACCCATTTTATCGTCATCATTGTCTTTCAGTGACATTTTGTCTGGTTTATTCACAATAAGCTACACGACTTAAGGCATTCTACGGTTGACTGCTATTCGTATGAATGTATATCATCATAAGTTACCACCCGCCATTATCAATACCAGAAGCTTTATACGTCTTAAATGTTAGATGATCACATATGTGTATATTGAAATGAACGGTATTATAAATAATTATAGCGATCATCGTCGATGGATATATATATATCGATCGATCGATTAAAAAGCTATCGTTTCTATTGAATACCGTCCAAATCAATGTAATGATAAAACCATTAAAACCGATCGTTTGTGATTGAAAGTTTGCCTTGAAAACGTGGAGTCGAGTGTGAATAAAATTGATTTACGGATTGACTATGTTGAACGCAAGGTCAATAAATGAGAAGGATGAAAATTAAACAAAAAAAAAAAAAAGAAATCAGAATATTCAATCACATTAATTACAGTAATACAAGCACATACAATGATTATTTTAGTAAAAGAAAAGAAGCTCTTTTTTTCTAGGACATTATGGTTGCTCCTTTTTTTTTGCTTATATAAGTTGAAAAGAATTCATTGACACGTAATAGATCTGAAAACTTCAAAAGTGATTGAAGTTTGAAGAAGAAGACGGCGAAGAGAAAAAAAAGGAATTATATTCTGGTTAGGCTGCGTATTATATTTGAAAATAACAAGCTGAATAAACATTTCTATGACAAGTGCACTCTTTTCTCTATACATATTTTTTAAGAAGAGCAATATAATTGTGTGCTTTCATTTCAATAGAAACACTCTTTAGATTTAGCTTTATATTTTGAAAAAAAAATGAATTCCAAGTTCAAAGAGCCTTGTTTCATACATGTGTGTGTCTGTGAATATTGACAGCTGCATGCCACTTTAAAGGTATATTCAAGAAGTAGAAAAGCTCATCATTCGTCTTTTCTCATTAGTAGTGAATTTCGAAATTAATTCATCTTTCTGGACACGGCATGCAATGTCGCGTCGATTAGATAGGACCCAATTGACCACAAACTTTTAATGATCTAACAGCACGCTATATAACATTGGGTACTGTTATTGTGGACGCCAAATACGCAAGCTAATGTTACTGTCACATGCACTCTTCAGATATTCGAGATGAGAGTGTTTGTGTGTATGCGCGTTTATTTGGCACTCAAACGACAATGATTGACACTTTCCTCACGACGATTGAACAGCAGGCAAAAGACAGAGGAGATGGCGAGCAAGAGAGGGAGAGAGAGAGAGGCCGAAAGAGAGAAAGTAGACGATGAGCGAACGGAAGAAGGAGGAGAAAACGACCATGTTAAAAAATCATCTTCCTTTGTATGTCAGTCATTCTACGACGACACAGTAGTAATACGAATATACATACATTATAAAGCAAGCGAATGTATGATGCGGACGTATTTACATTTTAATAATGAACGTGCATGCAATCTTTTTTGCACGATTGATTTGATGATGTGACTATATAGTAAGTCTGTTTGTCCATAGTTCTTGGACATTTGCTTTTTCTTCTCGTTTTTTTTTATTTGTCTGTTTTATTCCATCTTTTGTTTCTAACACAATTGATCATCATTGTAGAATGAGACGTAAAGAATAGCGAGGTATTACAATAATCATTAGATATACATGTATAACTATGTATTGTTACTTTTTATTCGCCTTTTTTTGTCAGCAGATCAAATTACTAACGACAGAAAGAGGTCAGTTCGAATATGATCGTATATTTGACTGACTGCTGACAGTAACAAGGTTTGAACAGGTGGGTAGGCGGATGGACTCTTGAATCAGTTACACATATGTGCGCCCTTAGTCAAAAGAGAGTTATGGATGATGGAGTGTTCATTTAATTTAAAATGATCTCCCTTCCTCTTTATATATGTATGTGTAGTTTACAGTATTACTGACGAGAGTATGTACAATGTCCATGTAATAGAAGAGTATCGAAGGTCCGATGATTATATATATATATATAATAGTAGTTAGATGCACATCAATGCTTATACATGTATTCGAGTACAATCGTACGATTGAAACTGATCAACGAACAATCAGTTGTTCTTGAATACAAGATTGAGTCTTTATGTGTACGATAGACTGTCAATCATATTCTTATTCTTTGTTCATTCATTTAAAACTTTTTTTTTTGACAAGGTTATTTTAACTATTTCTGTTACAATACAAAAAATAGACCTTATTGATTCATTACTAGCCGTAAATTCTTTTTGTTCATGTCAGTCAAAACCAGAACGTTATATACCCTAGGGTATTTATGTTCATGTTTTCTGTCATTCGGGTCAATACATAGTGTCAATTGAGTCATTTAAACATCGTTTGTCCGAGCATATGCAGGCACAGCTGTTGTCACGCGAAAGTCCAGAGTGAATCGGTATATATATATTGTCTATTGTCCCGTTTTTTTTCTTCTTCTTTGAATAGATATGTGTCGCACAACGTTTGTTTATACATTGGCGCATGTTGATTATATGTGTAGCCTTACATAGATGAGACACAGTTGCCATTCGTCTTCGTCTACTTATAATTGAAAAGTTTAAATTTAATTTATTTCTCTCAATTGTTGTGGACGAACCCTTCACATAAAAAGTGTCAGTGAATAGTCATTTAATGGCATCGTCTGCACGATGGAGAAGAAGAGTAAGTTGCCATCCACATATACATAGTATATCAGTATGAAGAGAAAGTGAGGTCAAGCAGATGGTGAAAACGGAAGTCGTCATCGTCTTTTCTTAGAAGAACAATTGGGATCTTAATGGTCATTCAAATAGCAAAAAAGAGTTGTATATGTCAAAAAAGCACAATCTAATAATGATACGACTTCAAACGAATGAACAACTCTCTTGAGATTAATCATCAATACAGTTACTGTTACGCTTCATGCTCACATCGAGAATAGAGACATAAATACATATACAAATGATGCACACGTTTTCTTTCAATTTTCTATCTGTCTCAACAAAAGGCTGCGATTCAATAGGGAATCATTGTCTCTTCATTTTATTTCCCCATTTGCTCATTTACTCTATATCGTGCGTATTGTTGTGTTTGCTCTCTGCTTGATGTGTTGATTAGGTTTTGATGGCTATATGTTGATCATCGACATATAAATATATATATATATACATCGATAGACAGCAAGTTTGCTTCTTTTATCATGGGGTCTCATGAAATACCATCCATACATATACATACAAACATAATCATAAGCATCATTTATAGATTGTTAGAATAATAGGAGAAAAAAATAGACGAAGAAAAACTCAGATTTTCACAAATTAGATTCACTAACTGTTACTGCCATTAGAATCAATGGACATAGATAGGATAATAAATCTTTGAACAACCGACATTCAGCGTCAATGTTGATTGGATTATCATAGATAAGAGAAAAAAAAGAACAAGGCGATGTTAATCAAGGTCAGTTGGAGCCTTCTTTGTCGCTCTCTCTCTCTCTCCCCCACTCTCTTTTTTTTCTGTTCCATCGATTAGTATTATCGACTTTTATATATATATATATCTATGTATGTGTATGTTTGGCACATGATGCAATCAAACACCATCGACAAGGTGCTTTCTTCCGGCACTTCTAATTGACGACGTAGCATAACTACAAACAACAACAGCACTATTCAAGCCATATTAATAAAAATGTTTTCATCACTATTATTATCCGTATACCATCATCATTCCTGCTATTGCGTAAGGTTATTTGAATTAATCTATCTTGCTATTGTATGTATGTATGTATATATATATATATATGTGGACGACGTGCAAGCATGTAGTGCGTGTAATTACTCTGTTAAAAGAGAATACAGAGCAATTGCATTGTTCAAATACATACAAAGACTTTTAATAAGAATTGCCAACCTTTCTTTTTCCTTCTCATTTCATTCTTTGTGTGATGATGATGTGAAAGCATAACTTCCGTTTTCATAGAAAATTTATTACTATTCTATTTTAGATAATAATCCTAAGATGATGATGATGATATTCGAAATAATTTTATTTATATTACTTTTTATTAATAACAGTTTATCATTAGAATGGAATTGTCTTATGAATAAAAATTCTATTGATAATAAAACAAAATATCTTCTTTATTCGAATGATCAAATATCTGAACAGTGTACAATTACAGTTGAATATATAAATGATCAACAAGAAAAACAAGTATGTATTGCACATACATTGACAATTACAAGTCTACCACCACTATCATTATCTTCAAATCATACAATGCAAACATTTAAAATAAATTCATGTCAATTGTCTACACTTAGTCAATTGCCATTTTCATTACCTTCATCAGTTGAAATACTTGATTTAAGTTATAATTCATTGTCAAAATTTATTCTTTCATTTCCATTACCATCAAATTTAAAATCTATTTATCTTGATAATAATCCAAATTTAATTGATATTAATTTTGGTAATAATCGTGTACAAAGAAATCTTATCGGTCTTAGTCTACGTCATAATAAAAAAATGAAACTTTCGTCTTTACCGCCTCATTTAACTCAACTTGATTTAACTGATTGTGACTTGTTACAATCTTCAATATTACCATTGTTGATATCATTAACAAAATTGACTCATTTATCACTAGGTGACAATCAACTAGAAAGATTGCCTTCTATTGATGAAAATATACAACTTGAATATCTCAATGTATCAAACAATCGTTTGACATTTATTGAAGATGGATGGTTACATGGACAGTTACACATACTCGATCTTAAATTTAATCAAATACAATCACTTGAATTTCTCAAAAATAAATTAAAATTCATATCAACTATCAATCGAACATCAATATATAATGATAATGATCAAGTATGTATTCCTTCTTCTTCTTTCTTATTATCAAAGTTAGGAATACAAACATACTGACTTAATTCTGTCTGAGTGCTATTAAATGATGTAATTCTATATGAAAATATACATTTATATCCAGGAAATTCAGACATCCTAAGGGTAGAGAAAAAAAAAAGAATTTCGTCATAATCAGGAACTACTATGATTACAATCTGAAAGAAAACGTTTTTCGTATATTTTTATTTTAGGTAAATGTTAATCATACTCTTGAATTATTTCTTAATGGAAATCCATTAACATGTGATTGTTGGCTTGGTGCTATACTTGATTCATCACCAGCTTCTATAATCATTCATGATTTGCATTTGCTTCAATGTCATTCGCATTCGATTATGGATATGTCTCGTAATGATTTACTATGCCCATATTCACGTCATTGTGCATCTGATTGTTCATGTTGTGATTTTGAAGCATGCGATTGCCATTTTGTATGTCCTTCGGATTGTTCATGTTCACATGATGCTCAATGGTCACGTCATATAGTAAAATGTCCACGAACAAATTTATCGGATATACATATTCTCTTACCACAAACAATCACTGAACTTGATTATGAAGAAAATGACATTGAACATATACAACCCTATGTATTCATCGGTAAAACATCATTGATAAAATTAAATTTAGCAAAAAATAATTTACAACAATTAACAAATGATACATTTTGTGCAGCAAGTAATTTACATGAATTAAATCTAAGTTATAATCCAAATTTAATTACGATATTTCCATCAATAAATAATTTATTTCAATGTTTAAAACATTTACAAACTATTATCCTGTCTAACGATCAAATTACAAAAGAACAACCAATTAGTGATGGATGGATGATTCTTTCCAATAATAATGATAGTACAGTTCATCTTACAAAAATATTACAAAAATCTTCAGGTTTAATTGAAAAATTTATTTTTATCTTATATTTCTAATTTATTTTTTAGCTATACTATCGACGAGTACACTTCTAACTATTCTTATGTCTTCAACGAATCGTCCAATACGTAATTCACCAACTAAACCTATTATAATGCCACCTACTTACCCACAAGAATGGACGACCTTCATACCATATACTGAACTACCTATTATTCGTGAAATTCCATTTGTTCAACATCATAATCAAACTCTTACTATTATTGTTTTTTTTCTATTATTATTTGTTTTACTTTTTCTAATATTACTTATCACATTAGCTATTTGTCGACGTCGACTACGTCGTCATTTAACTGCTGAACTACAACGTCAACGTTCTCATCATTATTATTATCATCATGCTCGATTACATCAACCATCGATTAAACCGATCGATAATCATGGAATTACAGGAACAAATGATAGTCTTTATGAACAACTGCCATCGCTATCATCCGATAGTGAACAACCATTTTTATATAATGAAAAAAAATTAAATATTACAAATGTTCCAATTATACCACCACATCCATCAACACTTCGTCATCATTTTTGTTGTCATCCAACAAATCATTTACTTCATATACCAACAACAAATTCACATGAATATCAATATGCTACAAATATTACGACAACAACAGGTTGTTCAACACCAACTTCACAACAACATCAATGTGCAGCTATTCTTCTTTGGGCAAATCGATTACTTTATCCAACACAGAATACATATAATCATCGTGATTGTTCAGCACATTCATGTCCATCTGAATTGCAACATTTACAACAACGTCTTCTCTCCAATCAACAAGATCAAACATCAATCACAGCAGATAATAATGTTATGCGTTATTGTAATAATGAAACATTTTATGTACCATCTACGACTTGTCGATGTAATGGTCATGTACAAAACCTTGACACATATATTCATCCTCATGTACATAGATAATATTTAATAGCTAGATAAAAGAAAAAACGAAAGTTTGTATCGTAGTAACGGTGCTTTTTAATAAAATACTGACAATAAAAAAACACGTTTACCTAAATATCAAATAGAATTTTCTTTTAAAACAATAGGGATATATAGATGTATTATTATTAAATCTGTTATGTAAGAAAAGAAAAACAGTGTCTTTTAAATGATCAGAAATAAATGTATGTGCTTTTATTTTACAAAAGAAAAAATAACAAGAGGCTCTTTGAATGTATAGAACAATCATTGGAACTGTAGGTTATAATAATTCATTTATATCGGGCTTATAATCAATTCTAATTACTTCGTTGAAGAAGTATTAACACATATTTTTATTACAACAATAAACTAAATTTTACCATATTTTTAGATATGTTAAAATTTATCCCTATGATTGACAATTGATATAACATGGTTATATTTACTATTTAGAGTATTATTTTAAATAATAAGAATCCAAACAAAACTAGAGTTGTTTCATGTCAGTTACTATTGGTCGTTGTAAAAGGGAATCATTTCAATATTAACGCGTGTTCTGTATTGTGTATAGAGCAAACATGTGTCAATTGTCGGCAAGCATTTTACCCCATAAAATGAGTCATAAAAACACTTGAAGTAAGTTGACGCACCCGTTTCTGCCATTGTTTAATATTTATAATATAAATTTTTTTCTTAGAAACTTTTCCACTAGATGAGCGGTACTAATCCAAATGATAAACCTCTCACTAAGAGACAACGATGGAAACGAAATCAAAATCAGAAAATTGCCACGACAATAGCAACAAATGTTGAAACGGCCAGCGGTGAACCACTTTTTGCTTTAAGCGAAGATTTTCCATCGCTACATGATGCAACATCAAATCGAACTGTGATACCTATCTCATCTTTACATCAAGTATAAATCATATGACATATCTTTAAATTTGTGTGCGACTCTAAATTTTTTATTAGAAACAACCCATGATATCAAATATACATGACCAACAATCAATGGCACGACGTAATATATCTTGTAATTATACTTCTTGGATAATATTTCATCTTTTGTTTTAGAAAGTTCTGAACATAACAGAATTGATTATAGTATAAAACCATTAATACCATCTAATCCACTATTATCGCAAACGACAGTCACCAAAAATTCGAATACAAACGAAAATCTTCCAACGACTGTAAATAGCCAGATATGGACAAATCAGTTATACGCTACTTCAGAACAACAACCAACAATGACTATTACATCTCGTTTGACACAAGCATTTGCTATGAAACCTGCTATTATAAACAAAGGTAGAATTAAACTCATAAGTCATGAAAAATAATTTATTTTATTTTAGATGATAATCCATCACAACCAATAGTACGAGATTTAACACGACATGAAAATGAAATAAATAAAAAAATAAGTGAAATTATTTTAACAATACATGAGAGTAAAGAATTTGTATCACGTGAACGAGTTCAACGTGAATTATTTGATTTTTATCATGTTAAGTCTTGGAGTGAGTTGAAAGTTCATGCATCAAGATTTAATCCATTGATTAATCTAACTGATCGACAAAAAGATGTGAATTTTTATATGAATGTTTTTGAACAATTTTTTAATTTATGCACTCTACACGATCTCGATGTACTTCTTTCGAGATTTTTAAAAGTGGAAAAATATGAAGATCTTCGATTGGGTCCACTTGAGAAAAATCCAGATGTACAACGAGTATTTGCATATAACCCAACGAAGTCTAATCAACCGATTCTACCATTAACTACTGGACAGGTTATCAATAGATTTATTGAATTTCAAAAAGGATATCGACGTCAACGATCCATACCATTCGATGAATTTCTTGATCAACTTGTTGATATATATGAACTTCAATCACGTGCAGAATTAGGTATTTTTTGCAAATCATTTCCTTTTTTAGTACAGGTAATTGGTAGTGTACGACGAGAACAAGATTGGCATTCACAACAAGTCAGAGAACAATTTCAACGAGAATTTATCGAAGATCTTCGTACACGTTTAGCTGAATTCAAAGAAAAAATGCACGATGAAATGGAATTTTCATCGTTTAATAAGAAGAAAACACCAACTGCTGTATTCAATTATCTTACATCGATTGTTGAAAACTATTTAGATTTCATACCACAACAAACAACACTTTATGCAACTTTAGTTCAATTTCGTGAAAATGAATTATTACGATGTTTACTCAATATCAGTATCTATCTAGGAACAATCGAAAAACCTGAAGTATTTATTGCTGAATTGAAAAAACTTCTTAATTATCAAGAAAAAATCCCATTGACTCAAACAACAATGCCAATGCAATCACGATCTATTCTGAATGAAATCTTTAGTAAAAAAGATCGCAAAAAAATGCAAGCCATGATTCAACAGCAACAACTATCATCAACATCACAACCGTCTCAGATATCATCCGATGACCTAAATGTAAGTTTTAGTCATATTCTTGTACATTTTACATGAAATCTATTTCAGTTAACAGCAAATACACCTGTTCATACATCTTTTGCAAGTTCATTATTATCCTCTCATCAAAGTAAACCAAAACCACCGGTAACTCTTAAACAATTATGTTCAGATATCTACAATCTTCTTATACATTATGATAATGTATTAACAATTAAACAACTTCTTAGAATTGAAGGACGTCTCTGTACTCAATATGCAGTTAATCATTTTTCTGTATTTAATTATGATGAAAATGATGATGATAATGATAATCCTTCAAATTTACTATCATTTCTTGATAAATATCGTCAACAAATCGATCCACATGGAGAATTATCTATATATGAACAAATATCATCGACAGATGATCGACAAGAATTATATTCATTTATTCAACAATTAAATATTATCAATAATAATGAAATAGATGATAATAATCAACAACATATAGTATCTATTCATGGACATATTAATTCTGATTACATACATTTAAGTACAGAAAAATTATCCGCCATTGAAAAAGCAATTAAACATAAATTTCATGGATCTATTCCTTTTCATAGAGGAAATCAAATGATAAAGAAAGCTAAACAACAACATCGTAAAAATAACTATTCAATTATTCGGTACGAATAGTTTTTCGTAAAATAAATTTAGTACATAGAAATATTTTCATTTAGTTTTGAAGAATCATTATTAGATATAAATGGTTTAAATCGTTTGGATATTTGTCCAACATCATTGAATATTGATGAAAATCAATTATGTCAATTAATACTTCATTGTCCATTGATGACTGATCTTAATATTTGGTTACAATGGTTATATTTCTTTCAACCAAAATATGGTACACTTAAATCATTTATTATTAAACATGAAAATGAATTTAAAGATCTTCGTTTACTTGAAACATCAACTCGAGAATTATTTCGTTTACCTAATCATACCACATTAGATACATTCGAACGTGAACTTCATGCAATTCATATTCGTTCAGCAGTTGGACATTTATGTGCATTAATTATTCAAGAAGGTTTAATTACTCGATTTTCATTTAATGTCTATAGAACATCAATGGATACTTGGTTTCGTCATCTTCGATCTTTAGCTACATTACAAAATGATCAAATCAATCCAATGGAATGTATATTAGATTTTCTATTGTATCTACCAGTGCTTATAGGTCAATCACGAATTGTTGAAGAACTTATTCTTGGTCCACTTGATGATGTTTTTGGTAATGATCAAGAAAATGCAATTAATGCACGTACAAGAATATGGAATATAGCAACTAAAGAACAAAGATTAAAATTAGAACTATGGGGTCATACAGTAAATATTATGGAATGGAAAAATGAAAATAAATGGTTAGATCAAGAAGATTTTGAAGAACAATCTATAATTAAATCTGAAATTAAACTTTTACGAAATGACAATATTGATAATCCTGTCACATCATTGATAACTCTAGTAGAATCACCTATTGTTTCATCATCGAAAATATCTACTATGATATCACATACTCCAACTGAAAATGATGAAAATGATCCAAATCGAGCAGCATATGAACATATTGAATCTATTCGTCATGGTTTTGGAGTTGATAGTGGTCTTGATACAAATGGTCAATCAATTGTAAATAATTTACAAGGCATGATTGAGCGAAGTTTAGAAAAACTATCTAATGATCTTTATTCGGATCAAGGTCATTTTGTGTTAGAACTTATTCAAAATGCTGATGATAATCAATATGAATCAAATCATTTACCTACTTTACGATTTATTCTTTCATCCGAACGAATTCTTGTATGTAATAATGAAATAGGGTTTCAACCAAATAATATTTCAGCTATTTGTAATGTCGGTGCTTCAACTAAAGGAAAACATAAACAAGGTTATGCGGGTCACAAAGGTATTGGATTTAAATCAGTTTTTATGATATCTCATAGACCAGAAATTCATTCACGAAATTATCATTTACGTTTTGATACTGTTAATGGTACGAAACAAATAGGATATATTCGACCCATATGGTTAGATGAATATGAAGAAATTTTACCTAATTCTAATGAATGGACGACATGTATTCGTCTTCCAATTAAACAAGAAACACGACGTGATCGATTACAACGAAATTTCGATGATATTCAAGCAAGACTTTTACTTTTTCTTAATCGTTTACGACAAATTGAAATAATTAATCAGTCAAATCTTTCTAGTCGAGTATTTACACGAATTGATCATGCTCAGGGACAAATTATAGAATTACAAGAAAAAACTAACAATGAATCGATTATAAATAATTTTTGGTTAGTAATTAAAAAAGTGATTGAAGTACCAATAAATATCAAAGTAAATAGAGATTTTGAAATAGAATCTTTTTATTATTTATAATTCTAGGAAAAATTACGTGATGTAAAAGGTGATGTTGATTCAACAACAATTGCTGTAGCTTATTCACTTAGCGGTATACAAGAATCATCAAATCAACTTCCAGCAACACAACCACTTTTTGCATATTTACCACTTCGTTCATATGGATTTCGTTTTATTCTTCAAGCTGATTTTGAAATTCCAGCAACACGTCAAGAAATTCGTCGTGATAATTTATGGAATGAATGGTTAAAATCTGAAATGACTTGTTTACTTTCTTTAGCATATCTTCAATTTAAAAATTTACCTGATCTTCTTACATCGTCATCAATTCATACACAAATAAACAATTCTTTAACTCCAATTCAAACAATAAAATATTTTCTTAAACTTATTCCATCTCGTAATGAACTCGATCCATATTTTAATTCATTTGTTGATGAAAGTATTAAATTACTAACAGGTATTATTCAATTACCAATTTTACGTCAAAATGAAAACGATGAAATGATTATTGATTGGGTTTTACCATCAAAATGTGTTATTGTACGTGATCCATTTATTCGAAAAATTTTATCACAAGATTTACTTATTTCACATTTTAATAGTTATTATGTTCATGAACAATTAGTTCTTGAATGTGATGAACAAATTCTATTAAAATTAGGTTGTCGTCAACTTGATTTCTCTGATATTACACGTCTTATTGAGATATCATATAAACAAAATGAACAAGAACGTCCAAAAACAACATCATCTATTGAACAAAGTAAATAACAATAGATCTCTTTTAAAAATGAATCATTTTTCTATTCTAGTTGCACAATGGCTTGTATGTCTCGATTATAGTCTTCAACAAAAACGAGAACAAATACATTTTGATCATGAACATGATGAACAAGAAGAAAAGGAAACAATAATTAAACTTAAACAAATGAAAATTTTACCATTAAAACAACAATCATATTTAGTATCTGTTAATGAATTTGATAAATATGGTATTTCATTTCCATTAGATAAATCAGTTCTATTTTCAAAACATTTAAAACTTGTTCTTAATGATATACCTACACTTGATGAACAATTACTTAATTTTATTGAAGATAAATATCCACGACGATATGATTCAATAAAACATCTTCTTCAAAATCTTGGTAAATATTTTTTTTGTGTTCATTTTTATTTCGGTTTTTTCTTATAGGTATAAGTGATTCACGCAATATTCGTGAAATATATCATAAACATATTTCACCTGTTATATTAGATCCAGCACGTTGGTCTTTAAAATCTGAATCGATATTAATGGCATATCTTATGTGTATTTATGAATATATCTATTTACCTAATCGTGGAATATCAGAAAATGAATTAAAAATCCTACAAAATAGTATGATTATTAAAACACGTGATAATAAATTTGTTTCATTAGGTTCACCAGACGTTGTTGTTCATCTAACAGCAAAATATGGCTGTAGAAGATCATTGGAATTTTTAAAATTATCAAATCATCAATTTATTTTCATTTCTGATGATTATTATAATGAATATCGTACTGAATTATTCCATACAGATAATGATTTACATTACTTTGTTTCATTTCTTAAAGAACTTAATTTAAGTGATTTTCTTCAAATTAACTTACAAGAAAAACGTATGTTTACCGTAAATTAATACTTTTGTATATTCATTCGTTTTTTTTTATTAGGGTTTATTGACGTTGCTCAACTTGCAGATACTGAATGGGCATATTTAATTCCACAATTATCTGAATCAATTCGTGAACCATTTTTAATAAAAGATTATTCTTCTAAAGAATTTGATAAACTTGTATCATTACCTAATGAAAATCAAACTGAGAATATTGAATTATGTATTCGATTACTTCAATATCTACATGATCAACATCGATCTATTTCTACGTATTATTCAGCTTCGGTTTATTTTGTTCGTACATCCAAATATAATCAGTCAACACCAGAACAAGGTATTGAATCTTCATTTTGTTTTTCATTACGACGACATGCTTGGATTCCTGTTATTGGAAATAAATTATATAAACCTAATGAAGTTTATTTATTATCATCCGATCAGCAAACATCTGTTTTTCGACAATATCTACCTCATTTAGATGAATCAAAAGTTTCATTAAACGATAAAGATTTTATTTTCAATATACTTAGAATAAAATCACAAGTTACACATCAAACTATATTTGAATTACTAATGAAATGGTCATGTGATCTAGATAGTGAAACATTATGGAATTTAGTCAATGGAATAAATACATCCGAAATGTAAGTAGAGAAAATTATTTCTGTTAGCTTAAGAATTTTTTCTTAGTATTCCTTGTACACTTCCCAATACATTCCGCCAATCATGTGTTGATACAATTGAAAATTTCTGTCAAATTTATCAATTTCTTGCTTCAAATAATGAGATTCGCATGCTTATCAATCGTTTTCGTTTATGGCCTCTTATATTCATTCCACGTGGAGAAAAACTTGGTGATTTTCTATTTGCTCATCAAACATTTTGGAATGATCCACTTTCAATTTTATCATCACAAAATACCATAGCAGATTTCAATGGTCGTATTCCTATACGACCCTATTATGATAATCCACTTTTACAATCATTCTTTCTTGAGATACTTCATGTTGAATCCCAACCAACAATAGATGATTATATACCATTATTATCAACTATTCAAGATATTGACAAAATTTGGCAAATTATTGAAATAATTACAAAATTAACAATTGAACAAAATAAACATAAAGAAGTTCGAGGTAAAAGAATTTTCGTATTTTCAAAATATATATTTTTTATGTAGAAAAATGTTCGAATATTCCATTTATACCATGTATAAATAATCAACAGAAATTCATGAAATATACGGATCATCTATTCTATCCACATGATATTGATATTGCTGATTTATTTGTCGATACATTATCAATTATTAAATTACCCAGTAAATTGAATTTTTAATATTTTATTGTAATCTATACGTATTATCTTAGGTTTTAATATTTCTATTGAATTTAAAGAAAATTTTTGTTTACTTTTCAATATTGAAAATCTTGATAAAGTTATTCAAACGAAGATTGATGTGGACAATGAACAACCATCAATAGATCTATCGGATTTTTATAGTCAATCTATTGTTCTTATTCAAGATTTTCTATTAAATTGTTCAATGATATCAACTGATCGATCTGACTGTCTATCAAGTAAATTTGCTCGGATGAAATTTCTTTGTGTTGATCGTATTCATCTATCGTATTGTTATGGAAGTAATATTGTTAAAACAGTACCAAATTTATACAGCGTTGATACTTTTATTGATCAAGAATTATGTAAGTTTTATATTTTAAAAAAATATGAAACTTCAGAAATGCGATATATCGATGCAATGACTGAATTTATTGTAAAGAATGAAGGAGAACGATTGAAACTTTCAGGATATATTAAAAAACTGTTACAAATATATCAGAATAATGCTGAACAAGGTTTACAACAATTACGAGAAAATTTAAAACAAAATTATGAGCCGAAATGGATGATACCAGAATTTATTAAAGAAAAGGTTTCACTTTTACTATCAGTTAAACAAGAAGAAGAAATAGTGCGTGAGAAGCCTATAATTACGAGCGAGAAGATCGAACAATTAGCAAATGAGCCTAGTCGTCGACCAAAACCTAAACCAAAAGAAGTGACAAAGGAAGAAGATGCAAATCGATTGACCAGTTTTCCTTTAAAAGCAGGTAGTATTGAATCAAATGACGTTTCTTCACAAAAACCTTCTTCAAAACCACCAATCGTATCAAAATTGGATGAATCAACTGAACAAACACATGTGAATAATGAAACCTCACAAGTATCTAAAGATCATGAACAAGAAAATAATGAACATGTACTAACCAAGAATAGAAGTAAGACACATACTGATGAAGAGACAAAACCAGTTCAAGATCATGCTGTTCGATCTCGTGCTCCTATGGTATTTTCGGAGCCTGTTTCATTACCACCGGCTAACTTCGAGCATATTACTGTTTCAAATCTTACCGATCTTCAACTATTTACATCTACAATTGATGACTCGTCTAGTGCTATCCCAACCTTTCCAGTTGGTACTGAAGCTGATCGTATTACAGGTCGTCAGGGTGAAGAATTTGTCTTTCAATATCTTAAATGGAAATATCCTAATAATCAGACTGAATGGATTAATGAAAACAATGAATCCGGTAGTCCTTATGACATTCGTATGATTGTTAAATCAGAAAATGATCGAATAGAACATATTGAAGTAAAAACAACTCGATCTCATGATCAAAATACATTTCCAGTATCAATTGGTGAAGTTGAATATCTTCTTCAACATCCATCAAATTATTTTATTTATCGAGTATATTATGCAGATAATAAAGATTCATCAACAATCATAGTGATTAATAGAATTAAAGATAATCTACAACTGAAACGTCTTAAACTTAGTATGACTATTGCAACAAAATCCAGCAATTAAAACAGTAACATTTTATCCTTGACAACAAAATACTTTTTTTTCTAATTCATCATTAATTTTTCATAGAATACGCAAATTTTTTAATCAATAAAATTATATAGAATATGCAGTACGGTGTAAAAGTCTTTGCCCTCAATATTTTAACCGGTTTTCGAGTGAAATTGATAAATAAGTAAACTAAACATCGTGTTTTCATTGACCTCGGCAAATTTGTCCTATTCAATGTGCAAAAATCTCTGTAATTCACCAAGATATGACAGTTCTCGCTTTTTGACAAAGCGTTTGAGCTTGATGCAAGCATCAGTATCTATCGATTTTGTAGTTTACACAACTATATGTAAATTTCATTCTATCCTTCAGAAAGTGCTCAAAAAATCTTTTCTAAAACTTGACTTTTGCACCTTACTGTATACAAATATAGCAGATGAATTGTTATTATTTCGATATTTGTTTCCTAAAGTCTTTGAAATATTGATTTAGATATATAAGATTTTATACAGTGATTTTGTATTGTTAATATTTAATCTTATTGTTCTATCATTGTAAATAAAGATTAGATTCAACTTTTTTATAAAATTTCACAAAAGGTGACACACACAATCATTTTAGCAGATGTATTTGACACACATTTTTTTTCGAAAATCAATCACTCTACAATCAACACAATAATCATCTTATACTCATTCAAAACCTTTTAAATAACTTAATTTTGCATCATTTATCATCTTTTCAATCACTTTCAAAAGTTGCTCTTTTGAATGCGGTTGCGTTTGAAATGGAATTGTAAATATTCGAGTTGTCTCATCAGTATGTTCACGAAACATTCGATCATTTCTTTCTGCAGTTTCCCATCGATGATAATTACATAATAGATGTAGACCAGATGAATCAATTGCAGTAACTTGAGCAGTTGTTAAACGTTGAAGTTCAGGTTCCGGTTTCGGACCAAAAGTCATATCAACTAATTCTGCTAATTCACATGAATAATTTGTATTTAAATTATTTATTATATTTTCATCATTATAAAAATCATTAACTGTTTGCATCTTTATCAAAAGAGAAAAATAACGTCGAAATATTATTTCATATAATATGATAAGAGAGCGATTTAATATTTAGAAGAAACTAATCATTCTATCCTTCTTTATTGGGTCATGAATAAATATCACATAGATAGATGCAATTAAAAAAAAGACATAAGTCACAGGGTAAACACAAAATGATTTATAAAAGAAATTTGTTATACAAGTAAAACTATCACAGGTAGAATTGTTCACATAATTATCTATTTATTGTGATGGTTGAGCAAAAGATTTTGTCCATTCACTAGCCTTTTCTCGAGTTTTTTCAAGTGTGTCATTTTCAAGAGGTACATCGTAGTTCGGTTGAGCTAATAAATTATGAATTTCAGTTAGTAGATTTTTAAGTGTCATATGTGGATCATATGTACTCAAAAGCGCATCATGACATGCTGTACCAGTTCTGGAATCCACATTTGGATGACATATAGCAGTAAGAATGGTAAAATCTGGTGGCACAAAAGGATATTGAGGTGGAAAACGCATCGAAAAACGAAAATGACCACCAACATAATCACTATTATCTGGACCGATTAATATACCTGTTAATTCATTAACGCCATCAACAAATCCTAATTGTAAATCTCGAACAATCGATAATGGATTATCATTTAATGATTGTAAAGCACTTAGTAGTTTTTCAGTTTGTTTAACAGGTCGTTTTGGAGCGCCACTATCGGCCATATTATACTAATCTAAAAAAAAAGCTCTATATATATTTATTCAATCGGTTTTTTATTTGTATAGTTTGGAAGTAATGGTTTATTCATGCCTTCCCATACTTCACTTATTTTTCGATCACCTTTAGTTACAGGTGTACAATTTAAACTACGTAAACCGGGTAACAAAGCTAAAATATATGAACGTAAATAAGGCACAGTTATTTCAATTGGATTGCCATGCAATGTTAAATATTTTAATTGTTTCAATGGTGCAAGTTTTTGTACTTCTGTCATATCGCTCAGCATATTCTTATGAAAATAAAAACATTTCAATGCAGGAAATTGTGTGACAACCTACAAACAGAAAAAAAATACACCAATGATGAGTATACTCATAAATAATTAATTTTATAGATGTCATTAAAATCTTTGAATTTTCTTACTATAGGAATTTCTGTAAATACATTAAATGATAAATCTAATGTTGAAAGAGCATTTGGATTAACAAGTATTGTTCGTAGGAAATCTGGTAATGTTTCCAAAGGACCATTTAAAGTATTATGATTTAAATTAATACCATAGGAATTATATCGATCACCTTGTTTAACTAATTTCGGCCCATTTTGTGGGGCACGAGGTTCAACAACAGCATCTATTAATAAAATAATTCGTACGGAAAAAATAAAACATTATTCTACCTTCAAGTTGTTGTGCATTATGAAATGAATAATCTAATGGTGGATATATTTGTGTTTGATTATCAATACGTTTTTGAACTGATGCCATCGCTCGTTTTGTACTCATTGGTGTAGACATAATTGACAGTAAACGAAAAACTTATAAAAATGCTATATGATCATATTTCTTGATGTGATCTCAAACGTTGCTAAGCAACGATGAACTATTCAGTATCACATTGATGCATTTCAATATTTTAATTAAAATATTTTTTTTAGAATATTTAAATAAAAGAATAAAATAAATTTTTTTAATAAAAAAATAATACAAAAAGAATTTAAAGGCTGTTGTTAAGCAATAGCAACCGAGATCGATACTCATGGACGAATAAAAAATGTTTTGAAAATACAAACAAAGGAAAAAAAAGAAAGTTTTACTGTACCACTTTAACTCAATAGTGAAATTTATTTAAATGAAAACATAGTAATAAATTTTTTAGATTTATAAAGCCTTAATAAACTCCTATACAATCATTATTCAATGGCTGCTATTCCACGTAAAAATTGTCGATATTCATATTACATAACAATTTTTCTTTTTCAATTTAATTAGCAACTGATAAAATGAATTTTCGTACACAACTTGTTGATGGGAAACCTCAAATATTTTTTGAACCAATCGGTTTGTTAATTATTTATTAAAATTTTTGGTTTTAATTCGAAATTTTGTTATAGATAATTCGTCAACAAGAGCAAAATCAAAACGAAATAGTCGAGCAATAAATACGATAAATCGTCAGTCAGAACAAAAAAATAAAATAAATAATCAAAAATATCCAGCTGAATATGAAACAAAAAGACAACCAAATAGAACTGAGCAGTCAACAAATCAAAAACAAGTTAATGAGGACAATTCGAAATTAGGAGTCTATATGACTATGGATGAAATAGCTGATCTTGTCAATGCTGTCAAAGAGAATGCTAAAAGTAAAATATGAAAATAAATCTTCGAATATTAATCTTCATTATTCTAGGTGATATCAATACTAATCATGAACCAAGAGGTATGTTAAAAGATTTTATCATATATTTTTTTTTAAGATTTATTGTGAATGATTTAGCTCCATCCCCACCACGACAACAATATCATGAACCAAAAGTTCCACCGGTTGTTCCTAATTTAGATTTAGCATTAGACCAACCTCCAGCTCCACCACTACCACCACCACCACCGAAAATTTCAGCTCAAGATGAAGCAGCATTAGACAAAAAACGTCAAAAATGGATGCGAGAGAAAGGTAAAAATTTTGAAAATTTGTTTCAATGAAATCTATATGATTGGTATTCTAGCGGAAATTGAACGAATGAAACTCGAAATTGAATATGATCAGCTAAAACATCAATTATCTCCTCGTTATAAAAAGGATTCAATATCTTCTCGTATAATCATATGATAGAAATAAATCAAATGTATCACGCTCGTTTTTTTTCATATTTTAGAACGATCAACATTTCAATATGATTTTCCACCACCAAATAAGCAAGTACCTACTATCACTAATGTACCAATTATACCACCACCACTTCCACAATCGTCAAAACAAAATGGTCATCAATATGATATGTCAACGAGAAATAATGATGGTAAAAAGAAAGAATGAAAATGTAATAATCTTCATTTATTCTATTAGAATCAAGTCAAGATACATATAAAACACGATTAATGGAAAAAAAACAAGTACAATGGAAACAAGAAAATGGTATAGTTTAAAATAGAAGAAAAATTCTATCTATTAAATCTTTGTTTTCAGCGGAAAAAAATCAACTATGGGATCCATTTGGACGTTCAGGTGCTGGTGCTCCTAAAATCAACGAAAATCCACCACGAACCTCTGTTTGTCTCATTATCTCATTCATTAAAATATTTCTTATTTCTTTTTTTTTTATAGCAACCACCACCACTACCACCACAAACGAATGCAACTTTACCATATCGTGCACCACCAGTTTCTCAACCGCAACCATACGATAATTCTTCATCTTCTATTCTTCCTAGTGATAGAACACGTGTGCCAGCTGCTATGCGAACAAATATAGCATTTGGTAATAGTCGTCATCAAGATGATGTTGATAATGTAAAAGAAATAGAACGTCGTCAATGGTTAAATGATTTACATAAACAAATTGAAGATAATAAACGTAAAAAATATGGTCAACAAGAAACCGAACGTCGACAAGATTTTTTACGTGAGAATGTTAATCCACTCGTTCAAGAAGCTGCTAATCGACATCAACAATCATCAGATACATCAAATCATATAGGTCGAGATTCAAATAAATTTAATCAAAATAATACATCAGAAAAGCAAACATATGCAGGTAATAAATCTGAATATTTTATTCTATTTTATTAATATTAAATCAATATAGGTTCATTATTAAATCAAAATACAGGTGGAAATATTTTTGGTTCAGATTATGATACATCACATTTAAATGTTGGTAGTAATCAACAACAAGCTTATAGACAAATAGATGCACGTCGAGATGAAGCGGTAAATACAGTTGATGCAACTTTTCGAAGGTTAGAATAATAAAATTTCTATTTCTAATAATCTATCTTTCTCTTGTTATTCTTCTAGTGATCATGGTATTCAAACAGATCTTCGAATACCACCAAATCGACGAATGCCCAATGGTTATGATGATTCAGATTTACCTCCTCAAGCTTCTAATCATAATCGTAATAAAAAACCCACTCGTGTGAATTCTGTTGATGATAATCGACAAACACCAGGATCAAATTCAAATAATGTTGGTAGAAAATCTCAAATGAATGGTAATCGTCCAAATTCTGATGTAATTGATACTCAACAACGTCCAATATGGAATTACAATAAAGAGAAACGTGGTGAATATGTTCCAAATTCAAAACGTGATCCAAATTATGAAACACGACAACGTCTTAAACAACTTCAATTGGGAAATTATGATTGTGTTGATGATGTACAAAAGAAAACATGTTATAATCGTTGGAATAGTGATGGTGACATTCAACAAAACAAACAAGGTCAAATGAATCGTACACGTTCAACAGTACCGAAAACAACAAGTTATGGCAATCATAAAGATGAAAGTATTATGAATTTACTTAAAGGACAAAATAAACAACAATCACAACAACAAGAAGCTTATGGAACAAAATATCCATCATCAAATCACACAAAAACAGATGATGACTATACTTCAAATCGTGTTTCATCATTAGATAGATATGATAATTATGCACCATATACACAATCAGATGATGTAAATGAATCAAATAAAATTTATTCACAACCCATAGAAACAACATCTCAGAAACAAATATCTGAAGTATGTATGAACACTGAAATTTCTATTCTATTTTAAATATTTTAGCCTACTACAAATGGTAATTATCAACAACGAGAATGGGATAATACAAATCGACAATATCCTGTTGCACAAACACCACAATACAGTGCACCTACAACAAAACAAGAACATATCTTACAACAATTATCAACGATCAAAGAGGTATGTGTATTTTATTCTGTTTTTTTTCTTCTATTGTTATAAATGATTTTTCTTTTCTATAGAATCTAATTCGTCGACAACGAGAACTTGCTTCACCATTAAATGTTGCTCCAGTTTAATATAATTAATTCGCTAAGCGACTCTCATTTCGTTTGTTTGTTTTCTTTTTCTCATCAATAGTTATCGTTTTTTCTTTTGTTCATTTTTCTGTGTGTAATTTTTTCAATATTTGACAAAAGTATATAAATAAAATAAGATACTATGTTTATGGACATGGAACATACTTGTTTTTGCTTGACATACTGACATATATCTTATCCAAGGACATATATTGATAAATAGACGGACGACTAATACATAATAATGTTTCTGCATGTCTGTTTTTTGTCCTTCCATTAGTTTGATTGTCTTGATATTAACAAGAAGAAATAACCACGAGATATTGATACAGTCAAAATAATGGAAGAGTTAGTAACAACTATTGGTAACACGATTTATACAATTACTTTAATTAACTATATATAATTCTTGATTAGGTATTGGAACATTTAGTAGAGTTGTTTTAACACGTCAATATGTCGAAAATTGTGAGAAATATTATGCATTAAAAATGATGGCTATTCGAGATATAATACAACTTAAACAAGTTAATCATGTTAATAATGAACGAAGTATTCTCGCGACTATTCAACATCCTTCTATTGTTCGTTTGTAAGTTTTGAATGTAAAGACGTCGTTATATCAACGTTTTTTATTTTTAGCTATGGATCTTATCGTGATAGTCGTTATTTATATTTTTCAATGGAATTTTTACCAGGTGGTGAACTCTTTTCTTATTTTCGTCAAGCTGGTCGTTTTAAAGGTTCTGCTATCAGATTTTACGCCTGTGAAATTATACTTGCCTTAGAATATTTACATAACCTTTCCATTGTTTATAGGTATAATAATAAATCAAGCGTATATTCTTTTTTGTTTTGCTGATTGATAGTTTTATTGAACTTTAGAGATCTTAAATTAGAAAATCTTGTACTCGATGCTACTGGACATGTTAAATTAACTGATTTTGGTTTTTCAAAATACGTACCAGAAAGGTTAACAGAAAATATGATATTTTCAAGTATATATATATTATTATTATTATTTTATTTATAGAACATATACATTATGTGGTACTCCAGAATATCTTGCACCTGAAATGATTCTTTCAACGAGTGGCCATTCACTTGGTGTTGATTGGTATGCATTAGGTATTTTAATTTACGAATTACATGTAGGGCGAACTCCATTTGCTGGAACTGGTCATCAAAATCATCCATCACATATCTTTATTAGAATTTTACATGCACCTATTCCTTGGCCAAATGTACCACCATGTCATTCGGAGTAAAAAAAACATTTTATTATGCAGTTTAGTATCTATGAGTGTATGTATATATATATAGAATTATTGATCGAATGGGACGTAATTTAATTCGAAAGCTTCTTGAACGAGATCGAACACGTCGTCTTGGATGTATGGCAGGTGGTGTCAATGATATAAAACAACATCGATGGTTTAAACAAGTTTCATGGGCAGATATTATAGAACAAAAAATTCGAGTAAGAAATGTTTCTTTATTAAAAAAAGCAAAACATTTCAATTATACTTTTATCTAGCCTCCAATTATACCCATAGTTGATCATCCTGGTGATACACAAAATTTTGAATTATTTCATGATGAACCTCTTGAAGCATCACAATGTACATTCGAAGAATATAATTTATTTGATAAATTTTAAAACTACATTGAGTTATTTAATATAAATAGATAATAGTACATTACCATTTTCATCTTTTTTTTGTGTGTAAGAATATCAAAGATTCAAATTTCATAGATAAAACTTCCCGCTTTTCATCGATAGAATATTTTATTTTATTCTCTATGAAAATAGCGGATAATTATATATCAAAATGTACACAACCAGAAATTGTTGCTAGTCGGTTGATATCCTTACGTAATATTTATCTTAGAGAAGAACTACGTACAATTTCCAATGAAATTCAAAAATCATATGAAGAACGTTTACCTGCGCTTCAATTAGTATCACTTGCAGCTTATGAACAAGTTTTTAATAGACAAGTAATGTATATGTATATTGAGATTTGTTTAAATAAAAACCTTCTCGAAATAATGTCAGCCATTATCTTTACCTGAAGAATTAAGACGTGAGGCGATTAAATATGGACTTAAATACTATCAACTCTATATTGAGAAACTGGTAAGTGAAAATTATGATTCATGAAAATCATAGAATCAGAATGTCATATTATAGCGAATCTCAGAAGTACATAATGATCGATTAACTTCTTCCGATGGAAAACATCCATTGGAAAGGTCACAACGTTCAACATCATTAAAAAAGAAAAACAATAAATATAATTCAAGTGACAATACATTTGCTGATACTGTTAGTTCTTCTTCTTCGTCAACCGATATATCTAATGATACAATTTCTAATTTATCTTCTACTGATTCCTTATCGGAAACGTTATCTAATGAATCGATGACAAGTACCACAACTGATCAATTATCCTCATCAAATCACGAACTTCACCGTACAAAATCGCCGCAGATTGTTGTACATCGAGCGTCGAATACTAGTTTAACACCAAATAAACGACGTGGAAAAAGAAATCGATCATTAAGTAAGATGACTATTACATTTATCGATCGATATATATTTACGTTTCGTTCTGTCGATCATTATTTCCACTAGAGGTCGCTATCATATGTTATACCGAGTTCCATCTATCTTCTTTATTGACATTTTCCCCTCGTGCGACAAGCTACCATCTTTATTTATCGATCTTTTTCCTTTCTTCATTTCAAATTTTCTACTCCTTCAATATCAATAGAGGTATTGGTTATTCATTTCATTTGATTACTCTGAGTCATCTAATCATATTGATCTTTTGTTTCTATTTTTGTTTGTCGTTTTTTTTGCATCGAACGATCATCAGATGATTTTCATATTTAAAATTGAAGGATAATGTAAACGTTTTTTTTTATATTTCAGATAGACGTAATTCAAGACAACATTAAGAGTATTGCAAAATGTTGGAAAGTGTTCGTCGTTTTTTTAAATTTATTCATTGGCTTTATCTTCAATATCTTCTCAATACAGCATTATATATGCTTGAACCATGGGAACGTGCACTTTTTTCAGCATTTTTATTTGCTATTATATCCACAGCACTTTATTCTGCATTTGTTTTCCTTCCACATCATGTTCGTTCAATGATTCAGTTTTATTCCTGATCAATAACAAAAATATTTCTCGTAAACATTCTTTTTGTTTTCTAATTTTTAACATAATTAACGACAACATTTTAAACAAATCAGTTATTGGTTTATCTATTTGATTATACCTGTAAAAAGGTTAGAATAAAAAATTTAAACTGAAAAGAAAAATAATCAAATTATTTTATTCTATTTGTAAACCTTAAAGTTTAATATATAATACTAAACTAATCTTTCGATCAGTATAAAATTTTTGTTACCTGCTGCGTTTTTCGAAATTACTGTTTTTAATCGAAAGAACTTTAGAAAACAGAGAACTATGATTTTATATATTTCATCGAGCAAATTTTTGAAAGTCCAGTGAAACTGTCAACGATCTATTATTTTTGAATGTCTAGGCTGTATTCTGTACGCGGTTTACGTTGAGTCTTACTGATGATCTTGAGGTATGTTCCTAATATTTTTTGTTTAGCAATGTCTATACATAAAGATCAATAATATTCTTATGAACGCCTTCAAGTTATATTTTTGTTTATTTTCTTTCATAGATCTCGCGAAGAAACAATTTATACGTGAGAGAGCATTGCGTACAAAATTGACTTACCTGAGCGTAGTATGTATAACGTCTTTAATCATATCGTTTTTGCCATACTTGTTATGATGTATCTGAAATGCTTACATTAACTATTCGTTGGTACGGATTATTCTATGCGCGTGGTTGATTTTTTTCTTTTTCTTTCTTCATCTATTACATGTTTATACATAGAATGACTCTTCTTTTGTTAAAACCCACTATCATATCAACGCCTGTAATTACAACTGAAATAAACTAGGTGTACCTTTTCTTCAATATATTTTCTTCTTACTTTTAAAAGGCATAATGCTCCGTTAGTTTTTTTTTGCATCGTCACTATTTTAAAATTCACTTTTTCTCTCTCTCTGTATTTTGACGGATTGTGAGTTGCATAGTCATTTCCATCCTACGAACGCAATCACTTATTTGTCTCTAGTGCGTTGCCACGGTAGCTTTCATATTCTTTTTATTTTGTCTTTATCGAACGGCATACATTAACTCATTTACGAGTGTTTTAAATCAAAAGTAGAGTAAATTGCTGGTTGTCAACAATGAGCATTACAAATCGAACTTCATACATGAACGTAACAACAATGAACAACAATGATTTTACGGTAAATATAATGTTTTATTATTATTATTACTAAATTAAGGTCATCGAAAACTTACTTTTCTAATTGAATTTATCTTTGCTCTACATAGATGAAAACAAAACAAAAGAAAAAATCATCCTGGTACAATTCGTTCTATGAATCTATTCAACATCTGTATATGCAATTTCTTTTGGTGACTACGCTCTATGTTATGGAACCATGGGAAAGAATATTTCTGATGAGCATTTTTCTTTCGATCATCACACTTGTTACTTATTCGGCTTTTGTTTATATGCCATTTCATATTCATAATATTTTACAATCGACAATACCAAATTTATCGGCTGTATTGATTCCATGATGATCATCAACAATACCTAATCATAATCTTTTCGACAAAAAAATACTCATTACTTATGATTATTTTATTAGATTTGTTCTTTTTTTTTATATATATTATATTCTTTGCGTTTTCTAATCTGATAAAGAATAATAATGATGTCATTATGATTCATTTTTGTTCATATATCATTTCAATTCGTTTTTCTTAGTAAAATCTTATTGATAACAGATGGACGAAACTTTATTGGAAATAAGCCAATACACTTCATCATTCAAGGATCATTATGTAAACATCGATTAGTTTCTCGAGTTTTCTTTTTTTCTCTTTCCTTTTCTTTACTATCGGCATACATGAGCACATGTGAAGGTCTATTATTTTTGTATCGTCATTGTTGTTATTTACAAAAAGAAAAGATACATCAATATGCAAACGATATGTTTATATATATATACTTTGTTTTTAGATTTTGTTTTCTTTTTTTTTCATTTATTGTATTGTGCTAATGGATATTGATTCCGAACCTATATCATCATCCAATACTGGCATGTCAAATTTGGATGAAGATTTAATGGAAAGATTACGATCAATTACAACAAGTAATCGTGAAGATTTAATTGCACAATTTCGTTCAACTACAAATGCGATATTAACAGATGAGGGTTGTGCTTTTTTTCTTGAAATGAGTAATTGGTAAATAAAAATAATTACTAGATTTTTTGATAAAAAAGAAAGCTAAATAAAAGATTATTAATTAATCTAGGAATTTAAATGAAGCTATACTTGCTTATTATGATGCTGAAATGCCAACAGATAAAATTCCTCAAATGCGTTTTGTTGCTGATGTTACCGTTGGTGAAGGCGAAGCCATTCCACCTAATACAAGATTTGTAAAAACTTGGCGTGTAGAAAATAATGGTAATTTTGTTATATACTAATTTTTTAATTTAAAAATATCGTTTTCTTTCTATTTATTAATATAAGGTAGTGAACCATGGCCAAGTAATTGTTCATTACGTTTTGTTAATGGTGATCGATTACAAGATCGAGATGATATTTATGTTGGTACATTAGCACCAGGTGAACAAACAAATATTTCTGTTGATATAACCAGTCCAACTACGTCGAAAATAATTAGATCACAATGGCGTCTATTTACATTAGCTGGTGTACCTTTTGGAGGTAAAATTATTCTTTAAATATAATACTTATAATTTAATTATTTAATTTAGATCCGATATGGTTAATTGCTAGTGTTGAAGAAGGAGGATTAATGGGTATAACTCAACAACTTGAACAATGTCATTCACTAGGTATGAATGTGAATAATTATCCACAACAAATGACCAATCAAATGGGTATACAACAATCACCTAATAATTTACTTTATCAAACATCTCCGACAAATCCATTTCAATCTACGAGATGTAAATATTTTTAATGAAAAAATCAGAATAAAACTATTCTTTTTTAGGGTCTAATTCAGATGCTAGTAATGTAACTGGCTGGACGAATTATCCCATTGTACCTGTCACAGTAAGTTTTTGAAGAGATTTTTTTTCTTGAATGTTTTTATCTTTTTCTATAGGAATATTCCCGAACGAATAATATTAATCATCAACCATCAGATCCATCTGCATCTTCAAATGGAATGGTAGATGATAATTCTCTAGACACATTTTAACTGAATAAAAGATCATCTATTGTTGTGCTAGTCGAAACCGAGTGTGTGTTGTCAATTGAAAACAAAACATTCTTTCTCTTTTGATATTTTGTTAAAAATTTTACCATCATTAATAGAGAGATTTATCCGTATTTTTGTTTGCTATTTTCCTTTTTTCATTTCTTATGAATATATATATATATATACATATGTATATGTTTGATGAGAAATATGTTACCAACTATTTATGTAGATAGAAACTCGTCTATTGACAAGTGAACATCGATTTCTTTTCTTTTTCTTTTTCTGTTGAGACATAAACTGTGTATTTGATTTCTTTATTCTTTGTGTTCCTCTTCTTCTTTTATATTACAAAACTCGAATTCAAACAGACACAGTTACAACGATGGATGTTTCTTTTTCTTTTCCTCTTTTCTCATTTTTTTTGTTGTTGTTCCCTATTTGATAATGCTGAATATTCAAGATGAACTATCCGAACAATTTAAACAAAATCCACAAATAGTTAAAATTGATTTTTATATTAAGAATTCGAACGATAAAAGTTCATCAATATCAAAATTTCTTTCTCTATCGAGAAGTAGTTATACTCGTTGATTGATCGAAATATTAAGCGTAACAAAATATATTATAGGTACATTCGGGATATTTTAAAGAACAAAAAAAAAGAGAAGGGGTTACCACTTGATATTGAACCCAAGGTTAATAATACCTCGAAATATGATTAATCACGGTCAAAGTATTACGAATATGTTACATAACTGAACAAAAAATCATTCACTTGCTTGAACTAATATGATACTGTCGTTTACAAAAGAAAATCTATGTCTTTTATTTAATACACACACAAAAAATAAACAAACATTCAAATTGAATGTACATATCTATTCATCTTTCTTTCTTTTTTTCATTTTATTTATGTTAAGCAAATGACAAAAAATTCATAAGGGAAAATTCCACATAGTAGCAAAAAAAAAGGGAAAATTCGTTACATAAAAAAAAAGCAAATAACAATAACAAAGAATAATCTTTTTTTTATTTAATTTTCATCTTTATTTGGATTATCATGCGTAAGAAATAACGTATGTTGCGCACCAACAGCTATATTAGTAATCATTTTAATATCCATAAATTTGGATGACATCATTCGAGGAATTTTAATATCTTCTTGACCATGACCACATTGTAATGATGTACCAGCACCAAACGAAAACACTTTACCAGATCGATCAATAACAAATGAAACATGATTACCACAAGAGATATCAATGATATTCGATAAATTTGGTATAAGTGTTGGTTGAGATAAATGCGTTGTTAATTGATCAATACCTAATTGACCTTCGTGATGTCGACCCATAGCATAAACTTCACCTTAAAAATAACAAAATCGAGATTTTATTGAATAAGTAACAATTTTATTTACCATCAGCAGTTAGACCAAGTGTATGATGTAGTCCACCAGAAAATTTTGTCCATTTTTTACCTTCAAGTGATGGAATAAATGTCGGAAAATAAACTGGTTCATCGACCGGTAAACCTATAGAAAAAAATAGCTGGATAAAGACTATCGATTTGAAAATTTTCTATTTACCGAGTTGATTAAAATTATTTAATCCACCACCTAATATCCAATCATGACCATGAACTTTTAAAAAGAAATGATGTGAACCAGTAAAAATATCATCAAATAATAAATTTTTAGCCTTTATTCCTATTCGATTATAGATAATTGGTGCGGGTCGAATTAATCGATCTAAAATAATTTTGTTAGAAGAAAAATGATGATTATTTTATTTGAATTTTTTTACCAATGCCACCGCGTAACCCATCTTCAGCTGCATAACGATTTAATCTAGCTAATTGACCTGTTTCACCGTTTCCACATGAATAAACATGTCCAGTTTCACTTAGAAACAAAACAAAATCATAACCACTAGCTAATTTAACAATTTTTTCTGGTAAAATTATTTCAACTGGACTTTTAGCCATGACACCTTTTTGTACAAGACCATAAACACCAGTTGTACTAGAACGAAATGTACCCCAACCTATTCAAAAAAAACAAAAACAACAATTAAAAAAAAACACAAAGATTAAAATTATTTTCTTTTTACCATAAACTTTTCCCGCATCCGATAGAACTAATGTGTGACTATCTCCTGCAACTAATTGAATAATTTTTTCTTGATTTATATCCATAACTCCACTCATATCAACTAATCCAAATTGATCAGCTTCATCATCATCATCATCATCATTATCCACTCTACCCAATGCATGTTCATCATTACAACCAAATGTAAATATTTGATTTTTTTCTGTAAGACATACGGAATGAAGTGGACCACAAACTATTTGTATAACAAGTTCAGGTAATGGAACAGGTTGAGGATTTTGTCGTTGACTTATAGCACTTTTAAGACCTAATTGTGCCATGCCATTTTCACCGACGGCTAATACTTGACCAGCTGTTGAAAGAGAAAATGCTGGAAAAGATACATTTATTACAGATGATGCTGAAGGTGTTTTTGCACGAGGCTTAATTTTTGTTGAATGACCATCTAATAAATAACTTTCGTTAAAAAATTGTTTCGATAAAAATAAAATAAATTTACTTGTTATATGAACGACTTCAGGTGCTGGTTTTGTGCGTTTTTGTGGTTGAGTATCACCATTATGTATATCTATGAATAAGATAAAATTATAATTTGAAAATGTTCATTGATTAATACAAACCATCATGTTGATCATTGTCTTCTTCGAGTGTACGTTTCTTAGATTTAACTGCAGGCGTTTGTTTACTTTTTGGTGATAAACGAGCAGCTTTTGTTCTAGCTAGAATTTAAAAATAGTGAATAAAGATTACAAAAAAAAAGAAAATTTATTTTACTTGAAGCGGGCATTGTTAATAAAAAAATAAAGAATTAGGTTATCTGAAAGTTAAAGATAAATAATGAAATTGACAAACTCAAAACTAGCTTATACGCAGTTTTGTAAGATTTTATTGATTAATTGATAGATATGAAATATGTATATTATTTTTTTGTACTTCTTTTACCTTCATTTGCCATAGACAAAGAGTCGTCAGTAACGAGTCATAAATTACCATACTAAATAAGAAGTTCTCTAGATGTCTCTCATAATCATTCATAGATTTTGAAAAGAATATATGTTTATCATATAACCAAAAATGATGATATCACGTATAAGCGAAGCGTAGATATTATATGATAAAAAACAATGATATGTTATGAAGACAGATAAGTTGAAACTAATTTGTCACAATTTTAATCATGATAATGCATTATATATATTGCATTGTACTTTGGCGACACATGTTCATACACTATCAAGATCAAATCATAGTAGTCATTCATCGATATCATATATCATTATATCGTTGTGTTTAATATAGATAGTTAATTAATACAGGTCATGAAATTTGATATGAATATTATACATTTCAAAGTAATTATCAGCTCTATTTATAGAATAAATTATTATTTGGTTGTGCGTATTATTATGTAAAATAGCATGAAGGAATTGTACTACTTAGAAGGGAACATATTTGAGTGTATCCACGGAGATGAAGTTTAAAAGTATTTTATCGTGTAATGACCATGTTGAATATCTAAAATATCGACATTTTCGCTGCCCGTTCTGAGGTCGAAAAAATAGCACTATTTCACATTTTTGCTATATGTTATATGCTATTGTCTGATATCACGTTTTAACGAGTTATTTTTCGAAAACTTCTGAAAAAAATAGTTTTTCCAGGAAAATGGACACATTAAACGTAGAAAAGTTTCAATTTATGCAGTATTTTCACTGGAAAAAACTATATTCTCCATAAGTTTTTGAAAAGTAACTCGTTGAAACGTGATATCAGACAATAGCATATAGCATATAGCAAAAATGTGAAATAGTGCTATTTTTTCGATCCCAGAACGGGCAGCTAAAATGTCGATATTTGAGATATTCAACATGGTCACTACACGATAAAATACTTTTAAACTTCATCTCTGTGGGTACGCTTAAATATGTTCCCTTGTTAGAATACGTTATTTTATGAAAACATAAATCAACACGTACTTCCAACAATTCTTATAACTATAAAGGATATTGCTTCGCAGGGATTAGTATCAAACACATGTAATTTAAAATTGTTGAAAAGTATTTTGTAGAATATTGAAGATTACCTATGAGATTTATATTTGATAGGACATATTCGTTCAATATATGAATTGACTTTGTTAATGCGATATGAAGCATAGCATTTATATTCTCCTTCGCGATTGTCTTTTTTTGCTTTCTTTATATACCCATTATAAATTTGTCATTTTGTATTATGATGATCATGAGAATGACAAATGATAAAACACTTGTTGAAACGCGAAGTGAAATGTCAAGAACATTCGGGTTTTTGGTTCTGATCAGAGAATTTATGTATATTAGTAAATTTTAATAATACAGGTGGTAATGTCTTCTTTCCGATTTAGAACAATTGCTTCAATATTAACAGTAGAATATATCGTTATTCGTCATAGCTTCTGACCGCATTTCGTATATGAATAAAATCAATGATTTTGTAAAGCAAAATTTTTTGACAAACTTTTGTCATTATATTTCATTTTATTTTTATAAATATATATATTAATTTGTTCTCGAAATATGATAAAATTAAGTCATAGAAATAATATGAACTGACAGGGAAAGACTACTTAATTATTTAAGCTATCGACTAAATAGTAAAATAGAGGATTATAGTTGACTAATGTTCGACTGTTTTTGTTGATTCATGATGTGATGAGCCATGTCCTTCTTCTCCTTCGTTCTTTGTACCAGGTCGACCTTCATGTGGATTTGGTAATGGATGAGGTACTGGTTGAACATTCCAAATATCTCGTGCATACTCAGAAATAGTACGATCACTTGAGAATTTACCCGATGCTGCAATATTTAAAATACTCTTTTTTGTCCAAGCAATTGGATCCTAATAGAAAAAAGAACCAGTTTTAATAAATAAAATCTAAAGAAAAATTAAACTAACTTTAAAGAGTTCGTTAACTCTGTCTTGACATTTAATATAACTTTCATAATCAGCTAAAAGCATATAACTAAAATAAAATCAAAATCAATAGAAATTGCTTTTTTTAGTTTAAGTCGAAATAAATTTACTGATCTCCATTGTCACATAATAAACTATTGACAACATCATGAAATAATTCAGGATTTTCAGGTGAAAACCATCCATCTCTAATTTGATCCAAAGCTTGTCTAAGTTCTGGAATTTTCTCGTAAAATTCTCTTGCTCGATATCTGAAATATAACAAATAAAAATATATATTTATCTCTAATCTATATATTATATATATACCCTTCTTGTTTACGTTTTTCAACTTCATCAACATTCATACCAAATATAAATATATTTTCATTACCAACTTCTTCAGCCATTTCAACGTTTGCACCATCTAATGTGGCAATTGTTAATGCACCATTTAACATAAATTTCATATTTGATGTACCACTAGCTTCCATGCCAGCAAGTGAAATTTGTTCAGATAAATCAGCAGCTGGAATTATTTGTTCAGCCATTGTTACACGATACTAATAAAATAGAATTAATTCTCAACAAATTTCTCAAAAAAATATATATTTACATTTTCAAGATAAACAACTTTAAGACGATCGCCAATAACTGGATCATTATTAATTATTTTACCAACACTATTAACCTAAACAACGTCAATTTTTACTTTTTTTATCTTTTAGTATAATATCTATTTACTAGTTTAATGATTTTCTTTGCCATATGATAACCAGGAGCAGCCTATGAAATAAAAGAATATTGATTTATCAATAAAAAGTATATTTCTAACCTTTCCGCCAATCATAACTGTTCTTGGTACAAATTTTCCATCGGGATTAGCTCGTATACGATTATATGAAGTAATAACATGTAAAACATTTAACAACTGACGTTTATATTCATGAATACGTTTAACTTGCATATCATAGATTGACATGGGATTTATTTTTTGATTATGAGTTTTTAAAAGCCATTCAGCTAAACGTTGTTTATTTTCTTGTTTAACGCGTTGCATATCACGTACAAATACTTCATTATCAACAAATTCTCTTAAACGTTTAAGTTCATCAAGATTTATTATCCAATTTTCTCCAATTTTCTAAAAAATAGAAGATATTATTTCGTTTTTTTATTGATTCTCAAGAAAGAATTACTTCAGCAATAGCATCACTTAAATTTGGATTACTTAGAACAAGCCAACGACGTGGTGTAATACCATTTGTTTTATTTTGAAATTTTTCAGGTGTTAATTCATAGAAAGATTTAAAACTAGAATAACAGAAAATTGATTTATTTCAAAAAATAACAAAAATAAATATTTACAGAGTTGTTTTAAGAAGATCAGAATGAATTTGTGCAACACCATTGACTGCATGAGATCCCTGAAATTTATAAAAAAAATTACAGCTGTAATTAACAAATACTTTTACATACAACAATAGCTAAATAAGCCATATTAATACGTTTATCACCACCTTCTTCAACAATAGATAAAGCTTGAAGACGATCATTATCTCCTGGATAACGACTAGCAACATCCTACAAAGAAAATAGGAATTAAAACACAAATATGATTTCGAAATATTAACTTTACATGAAGATGACGTGCATTAATTTCATAAATAATTTGTAAATGTCGTGGTAAAACACATTCTAATAAACTAACAGTCCATCGTTCAACAGCTTCAGGCATAAGTGTATGATTTGTATAAGCACAAGCTCGTTTTGTTACATCCCATGCGACATCCCAAGATAAATTTTCAACATCAACTAATAAACGCATTAATTCAGCAATTGTTAATGCTGGATGTGTATCATTAAGTTGAATAGCAACCTTTTAAAAATAAAGTCCAATATATATATGAATAGGAAATCAATGAATTTATTACTTTATCCGGAAATGTATTAAAGTCATCGCGTGTTTCAGAAGAAACACCAAATTTTGAATGTTTATATCGTCGAATAATATCCGATAAAGTAGCTGCAACAAGAAAATATTCTTGTTTAAGACGAAGTTCTTTTCCTTGCATATACTATAATAGAAAAAGTACTATATTTATAAGTAGTTCAATAGAAAGGCGAATATTTACATTGTCATTAGGATAGAGAACTCGTGTAACATTTTCAGCTAAACTTTGATCACTAACTGCATTGAGGTAATCACCATCATTAACTAAAATAATAATTAAATATAGAAATAAAAAGGCGGAATAATATTCTCTACGAACAAAATTGAAAATTAAATTTTTGTGCAGCTTTTGCACTCCATAATCGAAGTGTATTAACAACCTAGAAGATTAAAAAATATATATGGAGTCTTTTTTATGATGCCTTTGTTATTTACATTATTGTTAAAACCAGGTACTGGAGTATCATATGGCATTGCCATAATAACCTAGATAAAATAAGAATGGTATTTATTTATACATAAATTTAAATAATTTACCTTGGTATCGACCCATTTTGGTTTTCCATTTTGATCAACAACACGACCATAAAGATTAACTGGTATTTGATATTCTGGTCGAGGAATTTCCCATGGATTTCCATAACGTAACCAATCATCAGGTTCTTCGCATTGAAATCCATCTTTGATTGTCTGTTGAAATATACCGAATTCATAACTAATTTAAGAACAAAAATAAAAATAATTTTTTCTCAAATGAATTTCTACCGTAATCCATAACCATAACCAGCTAATCCAAGTGTAGCCATTGAATCAAGAAAGCAAGCAGCAAGTCGACCAAGACCACCATTACCTAAACCAGCATCTTCTTCGAATTCTTCTAATTCTTCAATTGATAAACCAAG